AGGCCGGCCCACAGGGTCCTCAGTCCCTTGGTTCATATGGTGCCAACATGTTACAGATGGAGACTTGTAACAAACAGAGCAGCTTTAAAGTTTATTCTCTGAACTGTTCATTTATAGGTGCAATATTTCGGTGGTGAAGTTATTTTAGAGTTTTGAAACAGGTCAAATTACTAGGCAACGGATGAAAAATATTCCTGTGGCTAATTCTGGTACAGTAATGTGCATTAATGTCAAATAAACTTATTCTGCTGATATATATATGGGGGGTGTCTGTGGATTCTTTCTCTGATAACACCATGTAGCCGACGGCCTCTTGAGGACCAGAACCTCTCTCTGGTCTCTCTCCATGTGTGTATATGTATGGCTTCTTATCTACATCCTCCATTTATCCATTTGGTTCACATAAGTCATGCATTTTAAATTATGTTAAGAAATGCACATAATCCAGTCACCAAACAGTCCGGCTTTTGCTTGATCTCGATGGTTAAACAGTAAACTTGGAAGAAGCAGGTGATATTACTGTATAAACAACTCACTTGCTCCACTTTAGAACCTGCCCCTGAAGCTTATGAACAAACCATAACAGCACAAATGGATTTCAACTTAACTGAGAATAACGCCAGGATGAAAGACATTTTAAATAACAACTTTATTGGTTCCATATAAACAAAATCGACAGACAGGAAGTGAAGCCGGAGGAGAGGTCCATGAAGCAGACAGCTCAGTGGGCGGGCTCTGCAGGACGAGAGAGAACATGGATGTTATTCCACATGTGTGTCAATGCTAAGGTCTTGCTAACCCAAACTTATTTTATGATGTCAGTTTTCTTGCTCTCCCCTATACTCTGGGGTTTACTGCATTTTATTAATTTATATGCACTATTGTATTATGACTTTTGAATGTTATCTTTAGGGAGACTGCACACCTGTCCAGGGACTGCAGATGAAAACTAGCCTTTGCTAATTCTGACTCTTTAAGGTCTTTAAAGTTCACAGTGTAATTCATGTACTTAAACTGTTTTTAAAAGTATGTATGGGCAAAGCAACCTTTAGTGTCGAGAAAGGCACCAAATAAAATTCACCTCTACAAATATAGGCCGTTTATAAAAGATCAGAACCTCTAGAATCAGCTGTGTTTTTGTACAGACAGACCTTTGTTTGAGTCACAAAATTCCCCCCCCCAAAAATGGCGCTAATACAGCTTTGGTAAGGGTTAGTGCTAATAAACTTCAGTTCTGTCAAATGTGAATCAATATTTTTAATTAAAGCTCAGAACAGCCCAAATACAGTCTATACACGCATAACATTAGAAGAGAAATCCAGGAGCCAAATTTACATAGACTTTGCACAGTTCATAGAATTAATATATAAATAGATATTCATGGTTCCAGAAAGGGCGGTGTGACTATCTCCGGTTAGAACTAAGACCTGCAGCCACACTGGCCCTTCGAGGACCAGGTCTATAGAGACTCAGGTGACTGCTTATGTCCAGCCCTGGTTAAGAGGATCTCCCGCTGCTTTCTTGACTTCAAACCAATGGTGAAAAGAAAGGAGGTCATTATTTTTCTCAAACTATTTTTCAGATCTCCAATTTTAAGTCTCGCTGTTCTTTGGGTTAGAACTTCAATGTACAATATAGACATCTGTATGTACAATATAGACATCTGTATGTACAATATAGACATCTGTATGTACAATATAGACATCTGTATGTACAATATAGACATCTGTATGTACAATATAGACATCTGTATGTACAATATAGACATCTGTAAATACTCCGAACCAAGTGCAATTGTAGCCCAGATTCTCATTTTATTTTATTTTATCTTAAATTTATTGTCTATTATCTTAAATAATAGACTTTGATGTGTGCAATCTGAGTGCTCTTATTTCCTTTCTCTGCTGTAATGTGCAACGATGACACTGATATTTCTCCACTGTGAGACTAATAAAGGTTTATCTTATCTTAACTACTATATAAGCAGTCACTCGTTAGAAAGAAAAACCAATACTTACTCTTGTCGACAGCTTTCTTTCCTATGGATTGAGAAAACACAATAGTTATTAACCATGTTCATGTTTGCATAATGAGTTAAATAGTTCCACTAAACTTACCTCCATAGGACAGTTTGTAGTACAAGTATCCCATGATGCCCATTCCCACCCACATCTCCTGGTAGGCCTTTGTGTAGTAGGGGCTCACCTTTGCCCAATAATTAGCAAACAAGCGTCCAGCCATCTGCAAACACAGAGAGCAATGGATTCAAGATTAAGATGAAGAGAGATACATGCCGCAATGGGGAAATGTCAATGTTGCAACACCAGTTAGACAACAGTTGGAATGAGGAACACACAGCACAAGATACATGAATAATGTTTAGTACAAATAACTTTTATCTTTGGCTTGATACAAGTATAAAAGAGTATACACACAGACTGATATGTATACATCTGTAACTAGATACATATTTATCTCTTTGCAAGTACTTTTAACACAATATGAAGATAGAACAATTATATTAAAGTTATAATAATGTAAAATAGCGCACCGTATTTATTTTTTTAATTTACAAATAAGCAACATAATCAGTCCAGTAGTTACACTGAAGCAAGCTCGTGCAAAGCTAATAATGTCCAACAATATTTTAATACCACATGTGTACGTGAACCAGACAATCTCAAACTACTAGTTAGCATTAGAAAGAACCCAGGAGCAGCCCCAACCATATGTGATGCTAACGATGCTAACATGACATTAGCTGGGGCAGACAACATTAACATTATGATTCATCCTCTCAGTAAACACGGACCGCTGCGTACAGATCTATCAAACACCAAATGCGTGGACAATAGAAGGTTGTATAGTTACTTTGGTGACTATTTACGGTGGAATGAAGGTCAAAGGAGCTGCTACTGCTGCTGCTAAAGTCGTGTGACCTGGACCAGCTTCTCTTCTGCAGTGGCTAACCTTTACCTCTACAGCTATGAGCTAACCGTATCTGTGCTCAGCGCCCCCCAACGGCACCAGGCGGTACTGCACCCGCGGCGAGCTCCATCCTGAAGACCGTATCTGTGCTCAGCGCCCCCCAACGGCACCAGGCGGTACTGCACCCGCGGCGAGCTCCATCCTGAAGACCGTATCTGTGCTCAGCGCCCCCCAACGGCACCAGGCGGTACTGCACCCGCGGCGAGCTCCATCCTGAAGACCGTATCTGTGCTCAACGGCACCAGGCGGTACTGCACCCACGGCGAGCTCCATCCTGAAGACCGTATCTGTGCTCAGCGCCCCCCAACGGCACCGGGCGGTACTGCACCCGCGGCGAGCTCCATCCTGAAGACGTGTCGTTGATCAAATGTGGTAATATTAGCACGGCACTTATAATTTCTACAGTCTATGATGTATATCCACTGCATAATTGTATTCTGTCTTGTGTTTTTGAAACTAGTACGATGTAAGTTAATAGATTTATATGGGTAGAGACAGAAACTGGAAACTTAACACTGTTGTTTTTGACGGTCTATGTTTTGGTTGATGCATTTTTTTATGTTAAAAGGATGAGTCCTGGTTCCTATGAGCGTTTTTTCCTTCCATTCAGACATGTGGTCGAGCACCCTCAACAAACAAGTTTAAGTTAAAGCTGGGGTACCTAACTTTTTGTTTCTCAAATATTGTTCCAAAAATAAAAAGTCTTATACATTTAAAATATTGTGGACTAATAAGACCACAGCATGCTATCTTAAGCCCCATTTCCACAAGCCCTATTTAGCTCTACTCTACTCTGCTTTACCAGGTTGCGTTTCCATTTCGCCTCTCTCTGGTCTCTCTCTGGTCTCTCTCTGGTCTCTCTCTGGTCTCTCTCTGGTCTCTCTCTGATCTCTCTCTGATCTCTCTCTGGCCTCTCTCTGGTCTCTCTGGTCTCTCTCTGGTCTCTCTCTGGTCTCTCTCTGATCTCTCTCTGATCTCTCTCTGGCCTCTCTCTGGTCTCTCTGGTCTCTCTCTGGTCTCTCTCTGGTCTCTCTCTGGTCTCTCTCTGGCCTCTCTCTGGTCTCTCTCTGGTCTCTCTGGTCTCTCTCTGGTCTCTCTCTGGTCTCTCTCTGGTCTCTCTCTGGTCTCTCTCTGGTCTCTCTGGTCTCTCTCTGGTCTCTCTCTGGTCTCTATCTGGTCTCTCTCTGGTCTCTCTCTGGTCTCACAGCCCATGGTCCTCTTTGCAGAGCAGAGCACCTTGTTTAAAGCTTTCTTTTCTTTATCTGTGATGTTTCCAAACCACACAGACACAGAACCAACAAATAAACTCTCAATGGTGCAGCGATAAAAGTTAAGCAGAATCTTAGAGTTATTGGTAAATTCTCTAAGTTTACGTAGAAAGTAGAGACGCTGACGAGCTTTCTTAACGACTCGGTCAGTGTTTTTAACCCATTTCAGGTTAGACAGAGTTAAACGCAGAAACTTGCACTCCTCTACGATCTGCACCTGGGAGTTGTCGATTACGACAGGCAAATGAGAACTATTGCGACTGAAGTCGTAGACCAGTTCACATGTTTTGGATGCGTTCAACTGGAGGTTGTTAGTTTGACTCCACTGAACCACATTTTGTATCTCTGCTCTATAAGAGGATTCATCAGTGTCACTGATGAGACCGATGATGGGGGTGTCATCAGCATATTTGATGATCAAGTTTGAGTCAGAGGAGGACACACAATCGTGAGTGTACAAAGTAAAAAGCAAAGGACTCAAAATACATCCCTGAGGAGATCCAGTGCTCACAGAAACAACATCTGAAAAACAGTCATTGATTTTCACTCTCTGAGATCTGTCAGTTAAAAAGCTAAAAATCCATTTACACATGGCAACATTTAAACCGAGAGACATGAGCTTTTCCATCAGTTTACCTGGGACAAGGCAGTTAAAAGCAGAGCTATAATCGATGAAAAGCATTCTTGCCACAGATTTACTAGTGTCCAAGTGACTGTAGACAGAGTTCAGAGCAAAGGAGATGGCATCCTCCACACTCCTGTGGGGGATAGGGTAGAGTAGAGTAGAGTAGAGTAGAGTAGGGTATAGAGTAGAGTAGAGTAGGGTAGAGTAGAGTAGGGTAGGGTAGAGTAGAGTATAGTAGGGTAGGGTAGAGTAGTGAGTAATGTAGAGTAGAGTAGAGTAGGGTAGAGTAGGGTAGGGTAGAGTAGTGAGTAATGTAGAGTAGAGTAGGGTAGAGTAGAGTAGAGTAGAGTAGGGTAGAGTAGAGTAGAGTAGAGTAGGGTAGAGTAGAGTAGAGTAGAGTAGAGTAGGGTAGAGTAGAGTAGAGTAGAGTAGGGTAGAGTAGAGTAGGGTAGGAGTAGAGTAGAGTAGAGTAGGGTAGGGTAGAGTAGTGAGTAATGTAGAGTAGAGTAGAGTAGGGTAGAGTAGAGTAGGGTAGGGTAGAGTAGAGTAGAGTAGGGTAGAGTAGAGTAGAGTAGAGTAGAGTAGAGTAGAGTAGGGTAGAGTAGAGTAGAGTAGGGTAGAGTAGAGTAGGGTAGAGTAGAGTAGAGTAGGGTAGGGTAGAGTAGAGTAGAGTAGGGTAGAGTAGGGTAGAGTAGAGTAGAGTAGAGTAGAGTAGAGTACTCTACTCTACTCTACTACTAGAGTAGTGAGTAATGTAGAGTAGGGTAGGGTAGAGTAGGGTAGAGTAGATTAGAGTAGAGTAGAGTAGAGTAGAGTAGTGAGTAATGTAGAGTAGAGTAGAGATAGGGCTGGTGGAAATGGGGCTTTAATCTTATTTGAAAACCTGTTATCTTTTGCAGACCCGTAAGAAATAGCCTTGTTAGTCACTTTCTGACTCCGTGGGCTGAGAGCTGATTGTGACACTTCTCTGGCAGAAAAAGCAGTTCTAAAAATGAGACAGGGGCCAAAAATACATGCATGTGAATAGAGCCAAACTATTTTAAAGCTAGTAACTTAGTATATTAATTGCATCATGTTTAGCCCTATCTACTGCGGTTTGAAAGTTTTGTCCTCCGGCCTTAAACTAAGCTACATTGTAAATTATGGGAGTGTTTTAAACTTGACCCCGCCTCTTGACTCCACATTAGCTATAGCCTCTTTTCTGTGCACCTCAGGGTGTTATTCCTGCTGGTCTCTGGTGAATCCCAGCCACACTGCCCTGGATTCTCTCTGTGAAACATGCACTAGCTGTCAACAAGCCTCCAGGTATGTAGCTAGCAACCTGTTCGTCTCGTTTTATTGACCTGAGAGCTGAGTGTGCACTGGCTGGAGTTTACTGCCTACACCATGGTAACTACTATTTCTCCCTTTTAGTTCTTGGTTGAAAGTTCAGCATGTGTGAACTTGTTCCCTTAAACTCTTAAGAAAAGGGAGTGGATGGGCGTTTTTTTTAAACAGGGTGACTCAGACATATTAAATTAATGGTTCACTGTTTTAGTCGTCTCCTATTTTGCAGGTTTTTAGAGAATGTAGACTCGTGGGCTCATTTTGTTGTGATTAGAGATGGCGTCACATGGAGCAGAAGAGGAGGATGAGGGGATATCTCTGGACATTGAGGACATGCTGCTTCATGGTAAGAGGAAGAATGTACTATCAACAACGTTTAGCTTGCAAGAACTAGTATCTGTATTGCAGCGCAGTCAGTACCAGTACTTACACGCGGATTACTATCATATGCAATGCTTGTAATGTCCTTGTTACAAACATGTTACCAAATATACTTCTTAAAAACACCTAAACTGTTATTATTTTCAATGATTTGCTGGTTTGTTCAGAACTCAAAGATTCATAGAGCAATGGAGGGAGGTTTGGTTCCCTGGGGCATAAAGGAGGAGAAACTTGATCTTCTCGATATCTTATAAAATCGCTAAACATTAGTCCAGTTATCCCCATGTCTCTCTCAAGCACTGCTTCCACTGGCCCTGTTTAACCAGTACCAGGTCCTTCTTTGGTGCCTGGTTGGTCCTGGTTCAATCTAGGTCAAGCGGGTACTAAAGTAGTTCCTCATCACAGCAGCCCTACTTGGCCCTGTTCTACTCTGCTCTTCTCTACCTGGTTCTGTTTCCATTACGCTTTAGTTTCTGGTACAGAATCTTAGCAACTTACCCACAACAAACGAGTATCTGGGTGGAAATTCCTTGTTCAGAATGTCTTCCAGTAGCACTCAGTCACGGTCAGTTAGATCACTTTAGTACCAGTTCTGCCTAGACAGAACCACGGCCAAGCAGGACTAAAGAAGGACCAGTGGAAACACTCCCAATCGGGGGATAGTAGAGCTGAGTAGGGCTGGTGGAAACGGGGCTACTGGAAGCCATGGCTACCACTGAATTTCCATGAATACGGGTTTGCTGTGGGTAGGTTGCTCGGATGCAGTACCAGATACAAAAGAGTAATGGATACACAACCAGGTGAAGTCGAGCCGAGGAGAGTAGAGAAGAGTAGAGTAGAGTAGGGCCAAGTAGGGCTGGTGGAAACGGGGCTCTTGTGCTATATTAGGTGGACTGATATGAGCCAAATCTTCCTCAGTGTCTTATATTCGTCATGTTAAATCTGTGAATGCAGGTCGGATTTGTTTCAGCGGGTGACCCACACTGGAAAATTTAATTAATTTAAAATTCTATTCAATTTCTATTCAATTACATTTTTGTTTTGTTGCCCGTTTTTGATGATCATGGATTCATACGGACGCTGAGAATGGAGACATTTTTTTCTGGTAAATTCTACGTAGACATACCAATATTTACTGATATCAAGTAGCAAAAATAATATGATTTATGTCTTTCTCATATTGACATTTAGAGCTATAGATGGTCTAAAGCTGACATTCCAAGAAGATCAAATAGTGTGCTGCAGTTTAAACTTATTTGTCTTATCTGCTTTTTTCTGTGATTTTACAGTGGAACAAGAAGAAATGCAGGAAAGACCATCCACAAACTGGATAAACACACAGGTTTCAAAGGTATAGTTACACAGTACTTTCAGCCGTGTATAAACTGCACCAATACATAATGTTGTCCACATATAGGCCACACCTGAATATAAGCCTCAGACTGTTTAAACTGGTCACGACATGATTTAATGATGAGGTGTTTTAATGCACTGTTGACTTGTTAGAGGTTAATAACACTGAACTGTGAGGCTAATATTTGTTCACGTTAGCATGCTTAGCTTAGCTGTTAGCTTCCATGTCAGGACTCAATTACAATCTCAATTACAAACATACATTGGCTGCACTGCTATGAAGGCCCCAGGGTGCATCACTAGAACTTCCAGAGCAGGGAGGTGTTCCGGGCACGTCCCACCGGGAGGAGACCCCGGGGAAGACCCAGGACACGCTGGAGGGACTATGTCTCTCAGCTGGCCTGGGAACGCCTTGGGGTCCCCCCGGACGAGCTGGACGAAGTGTGTGTGGATAGGGAAGTCTGGGCGTCTCTGCTTAGACTGCTGCATCCGCGACCCGGCAACGGATAAAGCGGAAGAAAATGGAATGGAATGGAACTTCCAGAGAAGTCAATTGGACGGGTTTTAGTTTTGGAAGTGTGATTACACGTGTGCACATTTTACTTACTTAATTAGTGACTTTTCTGTATTTTAAAAATATGTTTACTAATTTTTAATGATACAAAATTAGAATAGAGGACCCCTGTATGTATGTTTGCATGTGTGTATGTATGTACAGTATATATGTATTTATGTATTCTGTAATACTTACTTTCTTGTATGTGTGTGTATATATAGTGTGTATCTGTGTGTGTGTGTGTGTATTGTTTTCTATTTTAATATTTTTCTATTATTATGTTCGTATGCAGTAATATTGCATTTGCTGAGGAATGTTTTTTTTCCCCTTTTTTCCCATTTTGAATGAATGACTAAAAACCTTGGGAGCTCTCCCTAAACATTTTCCTGATTTTGAATTGTCTCACATAATCTTTTTTATCAATAATTTCAATAGGAAAGTTACAGATGTTGTGAATATTGTTTTTCTATTAACCAAATACCATATGCACTGTAGTAAATGGAGAAAGTCAAGCCCTTGTTTCAATTATTTTTTAAAAATTAATTCAGAAATTACTTTTCCTGGTTAAAATTGCTTAAATCTGCCTTTTCAAAATAAGTTTGTTCCTCTCTCTAAATTCCTTTTGTCGTAAAAATCTGTTTTTATTGTTTTCTTTGTTTTACTTGATATCCCCAAGTTTATACATACCTTTTATGTTTTTTTTATATTATATTTTTCTATGTGATGTCACCTCTGCAAAAATAAACTAAAGCTGTGATTGCGAACTGTAAAAGACTGTGAATTGTGTAAAAAACGTGTCCCCTACTGTTATTCATTTCACTGTTAGATTTTATTTCGCAAAACAGAACCGGAAATGACACCACGAGAAAAGCCGGAAGCCGGAAATGACGCCTAAGTAAAGTGAGGAACCAAAACAGATCTGCCGCGAAACCTCGGCTTCTCTAACGTGCACGTAAGAGGACAGAGAGAGTGTTATTTGGTTATTTGGTTTCGAATAGTCGCAAAGAGATTAGTCGAAATGGCCATTAACGCCGACGCCATTAAAGAAGAAGTTGAACTGATCTCCGAGAGTGATGAGGAAAGTTTTTACACAGACGTGGAGCTGGATGATGATGATGATGAAGATGATGATGAGGAGGACCCGGATGAAGAGTAAGTGCTGATTATTTATAGATTCAGATTCTGTTGTTGTGTTATCAAATACAGTCTCCATGAATTCAGATTTATTTTATTTGCCATTTGCAGTAAAACCACATTGGACAAAAAATACAAAAGTCCCCAGTGTGCACCAGATAAATAAACACGTAAATAAAACACGTTAAAAGATACATGAATCAAACAAGCTGCGAAAGTCACTGTGAAATTGATCCACAAAATCAGTATATTGACATTAATAAATAAAGTAAATGTTTTTAAGTGTGTACTTTCTCATTTTACAGCAGTGATACTGAAGGACTCCCACTCACTTCAGAGTCTGCAGATACCTCCGCCCCCCTCTCACCAAGCGGGCGTCACACTCCACCTTGCAGCATACCTCGAGTCCGCGGCACAACTAGAGGCCGCAGAAGTATTAAAGTCCGCAGCAGATCCAGAGACCGCAGCAGATCCAGAGACCGCAGCAGGTGGAATAGTGAAAAAGTTCTTGATTCTTGCCGTCCCCCCAAAAAATTCACCCCTAAACGGACCCCAGGGCACCAGCTTAATAGAAGTAATACATACAGTCCATTTGATCTCTTCTCACTGTTTGTGGACAGAAGAGCAATGACCATTCTCTGCAAAAACACCAACAAACAGGCGGCGAGGAACCTCGCAAAGGGGAAGAAATACACGTGGACCAATGTGCAAGAAGCAGAGATGTACAAATTTGTTGGACTTGTATTTTATTTTTCTCTGGTGAAGGTCTCTGATGTGTCAGACTACTGGAGACAAAACTCCATTTTCAGTATTGCGTTTCCCGCCAAAGTGATGTTTCGTGAGCGGTTCCAGGCCATCTTCTGGAACATCCACATGAGCGACCCGCACAGGGATCGCGATAACGACCAGAAGAAAGGAACCCCCCAGTACGACAAACTGTTCAGACTCAAGCCCCTTCTGGACACCCTCACAACGGCCTGTAAATCCCATTATCACCCAAAACAAAACATTTCGATCAATGACAGGATGGTGGCGACAAAGAGAAAGAAGAGGATGACTCCGTACACTCAGGCTAAACTCACAAAGTGCTTCAAACTCTTTGTGTTAGTCGACAGCAGCAACGGCTACACGGTGGACTTTAACATCTACACAGGGAAGTCCCAGTTCCCCTCTGGTGTGGGGATAGGATACGATGCTGTTATGTCTCTGACAAACCCCTCCTTCCTGGGCGGCGGGTACCACCTGTACGTAGATGACTACTACACCACCCCCAAACTGTTCAGGGACCTCCTCAGTGTGAACATTGGTGCTTGTGGCATGTACAGGGAGAACAGGAGAGGCTGTCCCCGTGTCCATGACAATGCTCTGAGGAAGAAAGACAAACAAGGCACAATCCGCTGGATCAGAGAGGACTCTCTGGTGTTTGTGAAGTGGATGGACTCTCATGAAGTCTCCATCTGCTCCACCATCCACCCAGCGTTCACCGGGGAAACTGTGAGTCGCCGCTTCAAAAACACTGGCGGTAAATGGGTCAGGCAGGACGTTCCGTGTCCACAGCCAGTGATGGAGTATAACAAACACATGGGAGGAGTGGATCTGTTGGATCAGCTGATCCAGGACTACAGCGTGCACCTCAGCACCAGGCGCTGGTACTGCACCCTGTTCTTTCACTTCATGGACATCGCAGCCACTAACGCCTTCATCCTGCACAAAGAGCTGAGTGAAGACAGAGGAGAGACGCCGATGTCTCAAAGAGGATTCCTGGAGGAGCTGACGGCTCAGCTCTGCGGAGTGTCGGTGGTGATGCCTCCTGCGAAAGCACCAGCTGAACACTTACCTGTGGCTATATCTGCGCAGGAAGACCGGAGCAAGAGAGCCTCGTACGGCAGAAGGTCCTGTGTTCTCTGCAAAAACACTCTGCACAAGCAACAAGTCACCCCCTGGAAGTGCCAGGCCTGTGGTGTCGCACTCTGTCTCATCCCAGACAGAAACTGCTTCAAAGAATGGCATCAGCAGTAAAACATATGGTTTTTAAACATAGCTACAGGTTACATTCTTTCCCTACATCTCTTTACAGTTTCAAAAGTTTATTATTATTAAATAAATGTTTATATAAAACATATTTTCCTTTGTATTTTTCTTTGTGATTCCACAACTTTGATCATTTTGATTCATATGACACCAATAAATATGAAAGTATAGGTTGTACTGAAAAAAATAAAGTATACTCCTTCACTGCGTCACCAGATGAGTTTTATGAACAAAATACACAGGACCAGGTGAGGAAAAGTCCTCATGCTACATGCTGGTGTGGCGCCACCTGCAGGTGAAAGCCAGAACCGGTCAGACCTGTGAAGATAAGCGCGGCCTTATTGTTTTTAATTCCTCCTTTTATTCTGCTGTAATGAGCTCAACAATGACATCCATATGTCTCCACTGTGGGACGCATAAAGGCTTATCTTGTCTAAAGCAGAGATTCTTCTCCTGCATTTGTTTCCAGTGTTGCACTACTGACACAGCTGCTCACTGGTTTTCTATACAAGTTGTAAAACAGCTGGAGTATAATCAAAACACTGCAGCTCCGGTCCTGACTAGAACCAGGAAGTACCATCACATTAGTCCTGGTCTCAGGTCTCTGCTTCCTGTGGCTCAGAGAATAGACTTTAAAGCTGCTCCGTGTGTTACAAGTCGCTCCATGGCCTGTACCAAAGTACATCTGTGACATGTTAGTGCACAGGGACAGGCCTCCTGCTGGGACTCTGAGGAGCACAGGGACTGGCCTCCTGCTGGGACTCTGAGGAGCACAGGGACTGGCCTCCTGCTGGGACTCTGAGGAGCACAGGGACAGGCCTCCTGCTGGGACTCTGAGGAGCACAGGGACTGGCCTCCTGCTGGGACTCTGAGGAGCACAGGGACAGGCTTCCTGCTGGGACTCTGAGGAGCACAGGGACTGGCTGCCTGCTTGTCCCAGAGTCAGGATTAAACATGGGGAGGCAGCAAAGCAGCTAAAATCTGGAGCAGTCTTCCTGAAAATGTGAGACAGGCTTCTTCTCTGACAATGTTCAAATCCAGGTTAAAATCAGTTTTGTTTCTTTGCAACAACTGAAGGATTTTATCTTTACGGTTTTTAATGTACAGTGATTATGATTTTGATGCCATGTGATTGTTTGTATCTTGTTGTGTTCAGCACTTTGAGGTTGCCTTGTATATGAACTGTGCTATACATATAAACTTGCCTTACCTTGCCATAAAAGAGCCTGGTGTTGAGGTGGTGTGTGTCTGTCTGTGTGTGCTGAGTCACAGAGAGGGCAGTGGATCGGGTCGCTCTGGACTGAGGAGGCGTTCGACCCATTCCACAAGTGTAAATATAGTGTGTGTAATCCAAACTACCAACGGTTATAACTTATTACATCAATTATAGAGCTAGCATGAAGCAGGAACCGTTCAAGAGTCTCTGATATATACACTACACATTTTTATCACACAGTGGAGGTTTATTTAAGATACATTTTGTCTTTCTGTTGGCAAGAATTCAAGTAAAACATTTTGCTGTCTGCAGCTAGAGCTGGACCAGAACCGGTTCAAAGTCCGGGGTCTCTCTGGTCTCTCTCTGACCTCTGTTTCTCTCTGGTCTCTCTTTCTGGTCTCTCTGATCTCTCTGGTCTCCTTTTGGTCTCTCTCTGGTCTAACTCAGATCTCTCTCTGGTCTCTCTCTGATCTCTCTCTTTCTGGTCTCTCTCAGATCTCTCTCTCGTCTCCCTTTGGTCCCTCTCTGATCTCTTTCTCTGATCTCTCTCTGGTCTTTCAATAGTAATGATAGATTTCGAAGTTCAGGCCGTTTCCCAGTCTCCAATATTTCACTGTAGACTCTGCACAGTGTGGCCAAAATTAGTTTTCTGTCTGTGTGGTTGGTTGTACTCATGGATGTATTGTATTTCATATCTGGACAGAGTGACAGGACGATGTATAACAGTTCAAAATGTAATCACCCATTTTCACAATTGTTTCAGAAACCTCTTGTGCGTACTGCAATCTTACAAGAAGTTGAGGCTTCTAGAGAATTCAAACAAGCCAAGAAGCGCGTGGAGAAAACCAGATCCCGCGTCGAGGAGAGAATCCAGAAGGCGACCGAGTTATTCACAAACAGAGACATCACAGAAGCTGAAGCAAAGAGGAAAGAGGTACATTCCAACATTTATGTAGTGTGACATCACCATAGTGTTAGCTTTGATGCAGAAGAGGCTGATTGAACAGAAGCTAGCTTTCCAATGGTGCTAGCTTTGTACCGTAACAGGGGAAGACATGTTGCTAAGGTGGTTGCTATGGTAAGCTGGAGTTTCCTCTCCGAATGAAGGCATCTGATTGGTCAATCCTTATATGGCTCATATCTGGATTTACAAAGACAACGTTACGATATAACACAAGAGCAATGAAGCACAGATTTTTTAAGCTCAAAATAGTGAGTGTAACACAAAAGGCTACAGAGCTTTGGGCTTCATCGAGCTAGAGGATGGACAATGCTAACCCGCTAGCGCAATGAAGCCCAATAGGGAAGTGCTCCTGGATGAAGTTTTGCTCCAACTCGCTCGGACTCCCATTGACTGACATGTAAAAGTAAAGAACTCTAACTCAGTAATCGTTTGTGTCACACAAAGAATACAAGATTTACCACTCTCTGTGATCCTGGTGTTTACATTATGATATCGTCTTTGTAAATCCAGATATAAGCCATACAATAATCGACCAATCAGATGCCTTCATTCGTGGGAGAAACTCCAGCTCGCCTTAGCAACTGTCTCAGCAACACTGCGGCTAACACTCCAGAAGAAATGACCATATAAGGAAATTAGCTCTTGCCAGCTTATGTTCAATGCTTCTTTCACATCAAGGCGCTATGCTAGGGGGTAGCATTATCCTGCTATAGACAGTCTATGCATTATTAGTAAGTGTGTAGATTGAGTGATGTCACTGTCTATATTCTTTGCAGAGAGCGTTGAGAGCTCTGCAGCCGTCTCTCCTGAACGACTTCCTGTCTGCGGTGGACACTTTAGCAGGATTCTGTTCAGGGCTTCAGCTTCAGACTCTGCATTCTCACTCAGCGTCAGTGAGGAGACAGTGGGAGGTGTGTGTGCGTCCAGGTTATTCTCACGATTACTGTAGTTATTCAAACTGGTGTGGCTGTAGGTCTTCGATCCAACCAAGCAGGAGCAACACCAGACTCCACCCATTTCTTCAAGTGAGTCCCAGTCTGAACCAGACCAGTGGGGGCAGGTCCTGGCTCAAAAAGGTCCATGAGCACGTGCGCTGACATGCTGCAATCCCTCCCGGTGGGGGTGTACCCGGAAAGAGAATATACCCAACGCTTTTGTATGGGGTCTTCTTTCCTCTTGAAAACGACTTTACAGGATGGACCAAAAGTGTCTCTTGGTCCAAAAGTGTCTCTTGGTCCAAAAGTGGCTCTTGGTCCAAAAGTGTCTCTTGATCCAAAAGTGTCTCTTGGTCCAAAAGTGTCTCTTGATCCAAAAGTGTCTCTTGGTCCAAAAGTGTCTCTTGGTCCAAAAGTGTCTCTTGGTCCAAAAGTGTCTCTTGGTCCAAAAGTGGTGGCTGGCTAACGCATGTACAAATGCATTGTTTCACATTTTTCTAGTTTTCATTAGTTTTAACGGCGGAGATAGGCGTCACCAGATCTGTTAATATTTACAGTCTATAGTCTGAACCTGAATGCTTGAGGAAATGGGTGGAGTATTTTTGGTTGGAATGAAAACCTGCTGCTACACTGGATCTTTCTTGAACCAGTTTGATTCCCTGCTTTAAACCTAATCAAAGGCACTGTTTCTCTTCAGGATGTTCGAGCAGAAATGTCTTCTTATATCGACATGTTGCGGCGAATGATCGGGGAAAGGAAGCAGCGGGAACAATGTGACAGACCTACCTGCACTGGTCGTGGGGAAGAGCCACAGAAGCAGGTGTGGTCACAGTATTTTAATGTATTTGCAATGTCGTAGTGGGAAGGAGAGGTTCTGCAGGTCCTTCCTTCCTGCTGCAGTCAGACTGTGCAATGAGAACTGCTGAGCCCGTACATGTCATCTCATCTGTAAATGGTAAATACTGCAATTTGAGAAGAGACAAGAGAGAGACAAGAGTGAGACCAGAGAGAGAGACAAGAGTGAGAGACCAAAGGGAGACCAGAGAGAGAGACAAGGGTGAGACCAGAGAGAGAGACAAGAGTGAGACCAGAGAGAGAGACAAGAGTGAGACCAGAGAGAGAGACAAGAGTGAGAGACCAAAGGGAGACCAGAGAGAGAGACAAGAGTGAGACCAGAGAGAGAGACAAGAGTGAGAGACCAAAGGGAGACCAGAGAGAGAGACAAGAGTGAGAGACCAAAGGGAGACCAGAGAGAGAGACAAGAGTGAGAGACAGGAGTGAGACCAGAGAGAGAGACAAGAGTGAGACCAGAGAGAGAGACAATAGTGAGAGACAAGAGTGAGACCAGAGAGAGAGACAAGAGTGAGACCAGAGAGAGAGACAAGAGTGAGAGACAAGAGTGAGACCAGAGAGAGAGACAAGAGTGAAACCAGAGAGTGAGACCAGAGAGAGAGACAAGAGTGAGAGACAGGAGTGAGACCAGAGAGAGAGACAAGAGTGAGACCAGAGAGAGAGACAATAGTGAGAGACAAGAGTGAGACCAGAGAGAGAGACAAGAGTGAGACCAGAGAGAGAGACAAGAGTGAGAGACAAGAGTGAGACCAGAGAGAGAGACAAGAGTGAGACCAGAGTGAGACCAGAGTGAGACCAGAGAGAGACCAGAGAGAGAGACCAGAGAGAGACCAGAGAGAGACCAGAGTGAGACCAGAGTGAGACCAGAGTGAGACCAGAGAGAGACCAGAGAGAGAGACCAGAGAGAGACCAGAGAGAGACCAGAGTGAGACCAGAGAGAGAGACCAGAGTGAAACCAGAGTGAGACCAGAGAGAGAGACCATCTATTCACACTTGCATATAGATGTATTGATATTGACTTTACCACACAGACGTTGGACGAAAGTCACATGATCAATGCAAACAGCACAATATTCTGAAGAAAAAAGAAAATTGTTTAAATCAATTTCTTTTAATTCGGTGTTTTGAATAAAGTATATTCCAAAAGTATATGGTATAAGGGAATCAGACCAGCAGCCCTTACATATCGCATGTCTCCTGTTATGTGCATCCGTACTTAGCAATCGCTGCAGTTTCATCCGCTCTATGCCCCTCGCTGTGGCACCAGCTGCAGAGGACACTAATCTACACTAATTGGATCGACTTCTTTGTTTTAACTTATCCAACTCTCCCCTACAGCAGCAGAAGCACCATGAGACGACCAGAGACAGCATCTACAAGCTAACGAACCTACAACCATCTCTGCAGCCGACCAGCAGAGGGCAAAGGTAAAGTTATCATAGACTGTGTATACTGTACTATATGGACAATGATAACTAGCTAGATCAATTCAGCCCAATGTTAAGACAATTTAAGGCAACAGTGGCTCAGCTGGTAGAACATCAGCCTTTGGGCCTGAAGGACGTGGGTTTGATTCCCCCTCGAGACCTATTCCAACTGCTGCCACTCATGTCTGCTGTCGATGTGTCCCTGGGAAAGACACTTAAACCCACGTTGCCCGAAGCCCCCACTGAAAGACAAAGGCTGTATCATCGTTGACAGAGCAGCTTCTGTGGACCCACCACCTGCAAAGGATCAGCCTCAGTCCTGGATCTACAGCTTCAGTCCTGGGTCTACAGCCTCAGTCCTGGGTCTACAGCCTCAGTCCTGGGTCTACAGCCTCAGTCCTGGATCTACAGCCTCAGTCCTGGGTCTACAGCCTCAGTCGTGGATCTACGGCCTCAGTCCTGGGTCTACAGCCTCAGTCCTGGATCTACAGCCTCAGTCCTGGGTCTACAGCCTCAGTCCTGGATCTACAGCCTCAGTCCTGGATCTACAGCCTCAGTCCTGGATCTACAGCCTCAGTCCTGGATCTACAGCCTCAGTCCTGGATCTACAGCCTCAGTCCTGGGTCTACAGCCTCAGTCCTGGATCTACAGCCTCAGTCGTGGTTCTACAGCCCGTCAAACCGAGTAAGCCCTCTCTCAATGTGGGCTTACTCGAGGTTTCTCACTTTTCTCCAACTGGGTTTTTAGAGTTGTCCCTTGCTGATGCAGGAGGATCTAAGGACATATTTGATGATCCAGGACTCTCGACATTCTAAAACTTTTATGGATTCTTATCAACATTTATAGACATTGGTCTCAGCTCCTTATGGATTAATGGCTTTGTGATTTATACAAAAATAATAAATAATAATAATGCATCGGTTTTATATAGCGCTTTTTTGGACACTCAAAGACGCTTCACATGTGTCATTATTCATTCACTCCATACACGGTGGTGATAAACTACTACTGTAGCCACAGCTGCCCTGGGGCACACTGACAGAAGCGAGGCAACCAGTATGCGCCATCGGCCCCTCTGACAACCACCAACCATTCACACACACACCAGACTCATTCTAGGCAATGGGGGTGAAGTGTCTTGCCTAAGGACACAACGGCAGTTTGGCACTTTACAGCCGCAGCCGCCCCACTGTGGCTGGTGTTCCCACAGGTTAAGTGTCTTGCCAAGGACACAACGACAGTAGTCAGTGGGAGTCGATGGTGAAAGTCCTGAGCGGGGCTTGAACCCACGACCTTCTGGCTCAAAGGCCAACGCTCTACCAACTGAGCTACTGCCGCTACTGCAAAAATATATCGCATTGAATTGAATAGAGATTAAAAAGGCACGGTAGACTCACAGTAGACTTTCTCTTTACTCCATTCTCAGGTCCTTAAGCCGACTTCCCATTCTTTTCATTATATAGACATACACTGTAAATCCAGAACACAGTCACTCACGTAGATAAACCAATAGCCCACGACTCTGGATTATTAGATCATTTATTAAAACATACCTTTATACTTAAATACCTTCACAATATGAGTGGATCAGGGTTTCAAAGTTAACATAAGACAGTCTATAACTTGGATAGATAGAAACTCATGACTCAAGATTGCATTTTTTGTGAATTTGGTGACATTTTGACTATTGCGTAATCATTCTTCCCTCTTTTTGTTTCAGTTCCGAGCCTGTCCCAGTCGCCGCAGATAACATGGAGTCTCCAACTGGCAAAGTAGCGTTGATCCCAGACGACATAAACGAGATTGTGTCAGAGCCTGTTAGCAGTGGTGTGTTTGCGGACGTGGAAGTCGACGCAGACACGGAGCTCACAGAATCAGAGAATCCACAAACAGAACCCACGAAAGCCAATGTTTTCCGGCTGGACTTAAAGACCCGTGTGTCAGACCGGGTTAAGGATTTCACCGTGATGGGGACTGAGAAGGGAGTAGGGACCACGCACAAGAAGAGGACGAGCAGGAGGAGTAAAGTGGAAGAGGATTTGGGTCAAAAAGCGACGGTTTTATCGGAGAAACTGGTGGATTTGAAGACGGAGGCAGAGGAGCTGGGTCTGCAGGAGGTCTCGCTCACTGCTCTACAACAAAGGTAAGCTGCTAACTAACTTTTAAATCAATCTGTACATGTATTTTGATATGAAGTCTTGCATTTTGTTGATCGACAATGGCTTATACCTGTATCTGTGTCCCATTAAAATCTCAAAACTAACTATAAATCGATTAGAGAATGTATATATAAAGATAAATGCACAGTTAGTTCTAAGTTTTAAGACTGAACAGAGCGCCCAGAGATCCGCTTTTCTTCGTAGTTTCTTAATAATGGTTTTAAGAGTTTTATTTGGGCCTCACTGTGTCTTCCCGTCGCTATTTTTATTTATTTTTTTGTGGATGTGGTAAAACAGGGACCCGGGTTTATAAGGAGACCACTGGATTAAAAGCAAATTAAAACGATTTATTATAAAACACATAAAAAACAAGTGAAAGAATAAAAAACAATACAATCCTAAGATAAAAACAGAGGCTAAAAACGCCGTGTCTGTCTCACTCTCTGGCTTCTTCTTTCTCCCCCCCATCTCCTTTTGTACGCAAGGCACAGGTGTTCTAATTGTCATCACGTGGGGAGCCGGGGTGCTTCGGGTGGTGCAGGTTAAAAACAATGTTAAAAACACCCACATTGGCATAAAAATGTAAACACACATAAAACCTTATTCAAACCCACAACCCGTTTTGCACCCACTGACATGTGTGTGCTTTGTGGTGTTGGTGCATCCGGTGACTCCTGTTTGGATTCCAATGGTTTTTTTTCTGCAAATGGGAATAAATTGATTCTGATTCTGATTCTGAAGAAAAAACAAACACACACACACGCACACACACAGACACTTAATCAAATTCAAGTTTATTGTGTACAGCCCTTAAGTCATTGACTGCCATTGACGTATTTGTCTGAGACCCTCTATTCCCCTTGCTATTACAGGACAATAAAAATATCTAGAAAAAAACGTATTTTTGTGGATGAAAGTAGACAATCCAGTCTTTCAGAATCTGGTTTCATATTTCACATAGTCTTAGGAAATAATAATCTGTGGGTCTTGAGAATCAGTGAAGTCATCAAAAACGGCTGCCAGTCAATGCGTTAATCACAACAGCAAGACTCTTCACTGTGTGTGTCTGTGCTTGAGCAGATGCCGGGGCCTGGTGAGACTGAGCAGCCGTTTGTCTGAGCTCCGTCCTGAGCTCCTACACATCAGAAATTCTCCGTCGTCAGAAAGTTGTGACGTCAACATGAAGCAGGAGATAGAGGAGCTTTGGGAAGTTACAACCAACATGCTTTCAGAACGGTACGTACTCAAGATCCATGTTCATACACAAGGCAAGATGGAAACAGTGACATAAGGCATTCAATAAATCAATACTTAATCACAGTACGTTAAAAACAGTGAAGACATAACGGAATAGCAGATTTTAGATGCATAAATCTGAAACGCTGCCTCTTCCTGACTCTGGGACCAGCAGGAGACCAGAATTGGCTCATATGGCTCTCACCTGTCACAGATGTACTTTGTTGCGAGGCCCTTGAGAGACTTGTACTGATGACCTGATGTTCTGTACCTTTGTTTCTCTTTCTCCAGGTTGGAGCAGAGTGAGAACTTGGCTGAGCTTCTGAAGAGCGTTCAGAAGATCCGTGCAGAAGTCGACGACACTCTGCAGAGAGCGGAGAGCACAGTGAAGGAGCAGGCCTCGTACATGACCAGGACCCACCTCCACGCACTGCATTCCAAGGTCACAAGGAGAACACTCTCTGGACTTTTAGACGCACTTGTATATAAGTCTGCTCTCTATGGTCTCTCTCGCTCTGGTCTCTCTCTCTCTATTCTCTCTTTGGCCTCTCTCTCTACACAGTCTCTCTTTGGCCTCTCTCTGGTCTCTCTCTTTGGTCTCTCTCTCTAGTCTCTCTTTGGCCTCTCTCTGGTCTCTCTCTCTAGTCTCTCTCTAGTCTCTCTCTGGTCTCTCTCTGGTCTTTCTCTAGTCTCTCTTTGGCCTCTCTCTGATCTCTCCCTCTCTAGTCTCTCTCTAGTCTCTCTCTGGTCTCTCTCTGGTCTCTCTCTCTGGTCTTTCTTTGGCCTCTCTCTGGTCTCTCTCTCTGGTCTCTCTCTATAGTCTCTCTTTGGCCTCTCTCTGGTCTCTCTCTCTGGTCTCTCTCTAGTCTCTCTTTCGCCTCTCTCTGGTCTCTCTCTAGTCTCTCTTTGGCCTCTCTCTGATCTCTCCCTCTAGTCTCTCTCTGGTCTCTCTCTGGTCTCTCTCTCTGGTCTTTCTTTGGCCTCTCTCTGGTCTCTCTCTTTGGCCTCTCTCTGGTCTCTCTCTTTGGTCTCTCTCTCTAGTCTCTCTTTGGCCTCTCTCTGGTCTCTCTCTCTAGTCTCTCTCTGGTCTCTCTCTGGTCTTTCTCTAGTCTCTCTTTGGCCTCTCTCTGATCTCTCCCTCTCTATTCTCCCTCTAGTCTCTCTCTGGTCTCTCTCTGGTCTCTCTCTCTGGTCTTTCTTTGGCCTCTCTCTGGTCTCTCTCTATAGTCTCTCTTTGGCCTCTCTCTGGTCTCTCTCTATAGTCTCTCTTTGGCCTCTCTCTGGTCTCTCTCTCTAGTCTCTCTCTAGTCTCTCTCTGGTCTCTCTCTGGTCTTTCTCTAGTCTCTCTTTGGCCTCTCTCTGATCTCTCCCTCTCTAGTCTCTCTCTGGTCTCTCTCTGGTCTCTCTCTCTGGTCTTTCTTTGGCCTCTCTCTGGTCTCTCTCCGGTCTCTCTCTATAGTCTCTCTTTGGCCTCTCTCTGGTCTCTCTCCGGTCTCTCTCTATAGTCTCTCTCTGGTCTCTCTCCGGTCTCTCTCTATAGTCTCTCTTTGGCCTCTCTCTGGTCTCTCTCTGGTCTCTCTCTATAGTCTCTCTTTGGCCTCTCTCTGGTCTCTCTCTGGTCTCTCTCTATAGTCTCTCTTTGGCCTCTCTCTGGTCTCTCTCTGGGCGCACCACCCACATTTTAAAATAAAATAAATGTTGTCCACATAGAGCCTGCACATATAACCACTGGTTTTCATGTTAAATGTAGCAGAGATTAAGATCAAAACCACTCATATCAAGGTTTTTCTTACCTAATTTTACCATTTATTGCAGCCAGAAATTACCGCAGTCACAAACAAATGTACTGATCTTATCTAGCAATGTGTCTCTTCATATCTTGTTTTTCTTCTGAAGGTCAATGAAACTAAGTTGGAGCTGACGGAGATGGGAGACCGGGTCGGTGAGCTGAGGAGCGTCTCCAAACAACTTCTCAGTCGTTTACAACAAACTCCTGACTGCATCGACGACGTCCCGTTGGTGTCGGAGGCTCAGAGTCTGATGGACCACTGGCTGGATGTTAGATCAGATTCCTCTATTTATTTTGTCATTTCAAAACCTTTATTACCAGGTGCTACATATGAAAAAGGGCTAAATAGTGATATTGTATTTACCGGAATATAAGTTCTTTAAACACTGATCCTATAGTGATGTGGTCTGTGTATGTATTTTTATCGTGGTAGATTATCTCCAGGGCGCGGGAAAGAATTCAGAAACAGCTGTAGTTTATGTTTATGTGAACAGCAGGGAGAGATGACACAATGAGATGCACAAAATATACAGGACTTTTTAATGTGATTAGGACTCTTGTCAGAACAGAGTTTGTAGAATTATTATTTGACTCCATCCAGGTTTAGTAGCCACAGGACACATATTTGTTATCAAACTAGATTGGGTAATGAGTCCAGTTAAAACAGTCTCTATCTGCTTCATGTTTCTCCAACAGCTCTTGGTTAAATATTGCAAGAAACCTGCGTCTTATATTCAAGTGTGGCCTATATGTGGACTTTGTTTTAGAATTAAGGTGGTGTGGTTTATACTCAGGTGCACTTCATAGTCCAGAACTGTTGTCTCCTTCACTGGAGTTCAGTAGGGCGGTACTGGGTCCACTAAGTCCAGTGGATCCACAAACTCTGGTCCATGATCATTTCCTACATGTACGTCTGGGTCTGATCCTAGGGTCGGCACTAGATCATACACGGAATCGGGACAAAACCGGAAGTAACAATCCTACTTTCAAATTAGTTTTAGACTAATTCCTTAAATGGTGACTAGTTAAGTTTTAGGTGTCTGGTTAAGATGGTTAAGTTTAGGGTTAAGGCTGGGTTGGGGTTATTTTATGGGAATGGCTGGTTAAGTTTAGGCATGAATAGGTAGTTTGTTAAGTTTACTTCCGTTTCCATCCCGATTCCGTATATGATCTAGTGCTGACCCTGATCCTAGTGGCTGCAGTTTCCTCGATTGAATCCCCTCCGACCAATCAGAGAGCGGGGGAGGCGGGTGTCGTAGGTTGTTGTCGGTGACGTCAAGAGTTTGCACCAAATTTGCTGGTGGTAGTTTGGCGCCAATTGTAAAGTAATACGTTCTGGTGGCAAAGATGTTGTGGCTCAACTCCACGTAGGCTCTGTTAGCTGAAAGGGAAATAGCTAAAGCTTGGCTAAATGCTAAAGCTAGGCTAAATGCTAGCGATTACCCGGGCTCATTACATTCGTCACGACAAATTCATATCCAATCTGCAAAAAAAAGTTAACCCCTCCAACCTGTTAGCAGAGCTCAGTGGAGCAAATCCAGACCTTAAGTTAAATTAAATTACATTAAATGAGTACGATGGTGCGGTAAGACCAGGCTACCACAAAACCAAGAGGCTTCAAACAACACAACATCACACAAATGCCCTGTGTTTGTACTCTCAGATCTCAGAGCGAGTGGAGTCTCAGAGTGAAAACCTGGACTTGACCCTGACTCTGTGGGACGGGGCTCTGAGACTGGGGCTGGAGGTGGAGGACTGGACCAAAACACAACTGAAGACTTTTGCTCACTCTCCGTTCTTCCAGAGCGTGGAGCACATGGCAGCTCTGCAGGTCTGTTTGTGTTTATAAATGTGGTTGTGATCTGTGACAGTAGATTTAAAGTGAGATGGTTCCAGGAGGAGGTGAGAGCGCAGGAGGAGAACATCGACTGCTTCAGACGAATCACCGCCGAGATCCCGACTCTGCTTCAGACCACAGAGACCCCACTGGAACTACAGGTTATTTCACTCTCTCTTTGTCACGATATTTGCCATTTGCAGTAAAACCACATTGGAATACATGTGCAAAAGTCCCCAACAGACAAGTACATAGATGAAACAAGCTAAACAAGTACAGGAAACAACAATCACTGTGAAATCGATCAACAAAAACAGCTTTAATACTAGATCGAGACTGATCAGAAAATCAAAATGCCCTGCTCCTCAACGAACCAGAGGGAAGAAGCTGGAACATGGCTTTTCCCGGGGCCAGAAGAGTCATTGATGATTCTGAGAGCAGGATTTAGGAGTCAGGATTCATAAAAAACCTCCAGAACAGACAGAGCAGAGCACCTCTCTCTGGTCTCTCTCTCTCTGGTCTCTGATCTCTCACTCTAGTCTCTCTCTCTGGTCTCTCTCTAGTCTCTCTCTGGTCTCTCTCTGGTCTCTCTCTCTCTGGTCTCTGATCTCTCACTCTAGTCTCTCTCTGGTCTCTCTCTAGTCTCTCTCTGGTCTCTCTCTGGTCTCTCCCGACTCTCTCTGGTCTCTCTCTGGTCTCTCCCGACTCTCTCTGGTCTCTCTCTGGTCTCTCTCTCTGGACTCTCTCTGGTCTCTCTCTGGTCTCTCTCTCTGGACTCTCTCTGGTCTCTCTCTGATCTCTCTCTGGTCTCTCTCTGGACTCTCTCTGGTCTCTCTCTCTGAACTCTCTCTGGTCTCTCTCTCTGGACTCTCTCTGGTCTCTCTCTCTGGACTCTCTCTGGTCTCTCTCTCTGGTCTCTCTCTGGTCTCTCTCTCCCGACTCTCTCTGGTCTCTCTCGACTCTCTCCCGACTCTCTCTGGTCTCTCTCTGGTCTCTCTCTGGACTCTCTCTGGTCTCTCTCTGGTCTCTCTCTCTGGACTCTCTCTGGTCTCTCTCTGGTCTCTCTCTGGTCTCTCTCTGGTCTCTCTCTGGTCTCTCTCTGGTCTCTCTCTCTGGTCTCTCTCTCTGGTCTCTCTCTGGTCTCTCTCTGGTCTCTCTCTGGACTCTCTCTGGTCTCTCTCTCTGGTCTCTCTCTCTGGTCTCTCTCTGGTCTCTCTCTCTGGACTCTCTCTGGACTCTCTCTTGACTCTCTCTTGACTCTCTCTGGTCTCTCTCTGGACTCTCTCTTGACTCTCTCTCTGTGTGTGTGTGTGTTGCAGGTGGTGGAGGTTCAGATGACGAAGCACATGTCTGAGCTGCAGGAGTTGGTCTCTGAGGCCGAGGAGGTTTTCCGTCAAACTGAAGCGGCTAAAGCTAACGTGTCCAACAGACTGACGGAGAGTGTGTGCTCCTTGCACACGATCCGCGAGGCCCTGCACAGGCTCCGCGGCTCAGACCCAGCAGCAGTGCTCTCAACGCTCAAGGTTCGATATTTGATGTACTTTTTAGATTTAATTTTAATCTGTAGCACTTTGAGGTTGCATGGGAATATTTGTTTTATTATTTATATATTTTTTATTATTATTAATGCTCAAGGTAGCGACCATTTCTCTACACATACACATACAACAGGTGTGGCGCCCTCTGCAGGTGTATGCCAGATCCTGTTAGACCTTTGAGGCTAAGCAGGGCAGGGCTTGGATATAGTACTGTGATGGGAGACCTCTGGGAACAGCAGGTGCCCCAGTGGGGCGGCTGCGGCTGTAAAGTGCCAAACTGTGGTTGTGTCCTTAGGCAAGACACTTCGCCCACATTAGAATGAGTCTGGTGTGTGTGTGAATGGTTGGTCGTGGTGGGAGGGGCCGATGGCACAGACTGGCTGCCTCGCTTCTGTGTGCCCCAGGGCAGATGTGGCTACAGTAGTGGAATTAGTGAGATTATTTTATTTTTAGATTTTTACTTTAAGAAAACAAAACTAAACTCATTAACATTCAACAAAAAAAAAACAAAAAGACTATCATATCCGACAATAAATACAATAAGAAAAACATATATAGAATAAATTAAATAAATGAATTAACCAATGCATTATTATTATTCTTAGCTTCTTTGGGGAAAACTAGTCGGAATGATAATGTGTTTCCTTCGTCTCTCGTCTCTAGGGCCTGTGTGTGCAGCTGCAGGAGGAGCAGGAGCAGGTCCAGGCTCTCCACGAGGATCTGCAGGTCCTGGTCTCGGTGGGACGTCCCGACAGCGTGGAGGCTCTGTGTGAGGCCGGGCTCAGGCTCCAGGAGACACTCACACAGGTGCAGCAGCTCTACTCCGAGCTCCAGGAGACGACACACAGGGACACACAACTCTACCACAGGTGAGAATGATCAACGACGTGAGGGTCAGCATGAAGACGATTGAACACAGTGGACTTTATGCTCCAGATGACACTTGTCTCTGTGTTTGTTATACCCTCTGTCTTACTAACATCGCCACAAGACCAGAGTGTCATCCAGCCAACTTCTGTTCCAAGAAACGTGAATCCATATTGATCTGGTGATGATTCAGGACTCTCGACATTCAACAACATTGATCAGTTCTTACCAGTAAAAGGCCCGTTATGAACCGATGTGATGTGATTTTTTTAATTCCATTTCTTGTGTTTGAACTGTTTGATTCTCTGATCTGTGTTGGCAAATCGACAGCACAAGATTCAAGAATGTATTTGCTATTTGCAGTAAAACCACATTGGAAAAACACACCAGCACCAGCTTTGTAATGACCTCCGAGATAGCTGCTGTTGTGGAGAATACATTGAGTTGGATAATTGGCCCGCTCTGGTCTCTCCTGGTCTCTCTCCTGGTCTCTCTCCTGGTCTCTCCTGGTCTCTCTCCTGGTCTCTCCTGGTCTCTCCTCCTCTGACCCTGAAGTTTCTCTGCTCCGCACCAAAGTTGTTGTGTGGAGATTGAACCTAAACACTTCAGTTCCCTCAATGCAAACCTGAACTTACACCAAAAACCCAAAGCTGAACCAGCCTTCTCACTGTAGCTGGCTAACCAACGTAGCCCTCTTAGCTTGCCCTGGATGTGATTATAGCACCGCGGCCACAGCAGAGCCAGTCTAACTTGTCTGAGTCGTGTTCTCGTCTCGTATAGCTGCACATTGTTTGTTTTCAGGCTGCAGCTACAAGTGGATCATTTCAGACAAAGACTGCATGCGGATGACATCACTCAGGATCCCAGAGTACAACCGGAGAAGCACAGGTACACACTCTCTCTGCACTTTACGCTGCTGGCTATGTGTTTGGATCAATGTTTGCTGTGTTAGATTCATAGTAACTTTATTCTGGTCATTTACATCTGTGTTTTAGAGTTCTATTTTCCTCCATATTTGTAGAGTCTTTGATTAATATGAGGGACAAGAATCACAATATATCACAGAATCACAAACTGTCTGTATCGCCATATGTTAAGAATCACAATAATATGCAATTGTAGCCCAAATATCCAGTCCAATATCCAATTTCAAAAGATTTCTCAGAATTCCCGTGGGTTTGAATGAGAGCAGTCCAAATGACAGCTCTGGAAGTTTCTGTAGTATCATAATTCCCGGAGTCCAGGTGTAAAATGATCCCCACCCACACAGACAGCCTGCCGGTTCCCATTTGACTAAACAAATGAATGAGCTGTGTATGTGTGTGTGTGTGTGTTGTGTGTGTTGTGTGGCTGTGGTTTCACAGGGAGGCGCTCTCTCAGCTCCACTCGCTCTTGAGAAATTCCGCATTTCAGAACGCAGCGCTGATGGAGGAGAGCGGGAGGCTGCTGCAGGGACAGTACACCTGTGAAAGCCACGCACAGGGAGGACCCAGGGAGCTGCACGAACCGGAAGCTCCAGTTTCTGAAGTCTGTACCGTCCACGGAGACCAGAGAGCAGTAAGACATCTCTGCTCTGCCTACCTGGTTGTGTTTCCATTACACTTTAGTATCTATTAAGGCTGTAGATCTAGGACGGTGGCTGTAGACCCAGGACTGAGGCTGTAGACTCAGGACTGAGACTGTAGATCCAGGACTGAGGCTGTAGATCCAGGACTGAGGCTGTAGATCCAGGACTGAAGCTGTAGATCCAGGACTGAGGCTGTAGATCCAGGACTGAGGCTGTAGATCCAGGACTGAGGCTGTAGACCCAGGACTGAGGCTGTAGATCCAGGACTGAGGCTGTAGATCCAGGACTGAGGCTGTAGATCCAGGACTAAAGCTGTAGACCCAGGACTGAGGCTATAGATCCAGGACTGAGGCTGTAGATCCAGGACTGAGGCTGTAGACCCAGGACTGAGGCTGTAGACCCAAGACTGAGACTGCAGAACCAGGACTGAGGCTGAACTGACGCTGTGGACCCAGGACTATAGTAAGGCCTATAAAAGGGGGGTACTGTCTGTTGGTGAGGAGGTACTCAGTCAGAACATGTAAAAACTGGGAACCACTGCAGTAAATAATCAAAGCTTCAAACCAGAGATTCTGTTTGTTCAGAGCATAAAGTCTCTTGTTGTTGTAGTTGTATCTGTGATTTGCTGTTGGCAGCGACACAGACAGGTGTGGTGCGGGTTTAATCCTTGTGTGTGTCTGTACTCGTCCAAAGAGAAGTGTCCGCTGTGTGACTTTTGTTTTGTTTTGTGTTGCCGTGTCCAAGTCAGGTGTGTCTCTCTGTCACAGGAACCTCCAGCTGCAGAACGAGAAGACCACAAAACAGGAGTCGAACCCGAGAATCATCTCTGGTCAGTTCAGATCCATGCTCTTTGACATTATCGTCTCAAATCAACTCGATTCATGGATGCAAAATAATGCAGAATGAGACCAAACAGAGGAATACATCTTGACAAACACATGGATCAGGGCCTTATCCATGGTACAGTATAAGCAGTGTTTTCTAGGGGTACGCTGACCCCTAGTGGTACATGAAGGTATTACAGGGGGACTTTAAAGCTGGCAAGTATTGATAGAAAGAGGTTAATATGGGTTGTTAAAGAATTTATTCAAAACATTGAACCCAGGCACAGTTCTAAATAATTAAGTTTGAAAAAGTTTTTCTTACTTTTGTACAGTTTTGGTTTAGTTCAAGTATTCAGGACTCACGCTGTAGACCCAGGCCTGAGACTGTGTATCCAGGACTGTGGCTGTAGACCCAGGACTGAGGCTGTAGACCCAGGACTGAGGCTGTAGACCCAGGACTGAGGCTGTAGACCGAGGACTGAGGCTGTAGATCCAGGACTGAGGCTGTACAGTAGATACAGGACTGAGGCTGTAGATCCAGGACTGAGGCTGTAGATCCAGGACTGAGGACTGAATTTCCCTGGTTAAATAAAAGTTAGATTAATAGATTCATATATTTTTGTGTTTCTTCAGGTTAAAAGGTCTGAATGTGGACATCATGAGGGAGGAGAGCGATGAGGACTTCCTGAGCCGCCTGTCTCTGATCCAGACCCAGCTGGAGGTAAAACCATCTCCTATGATTCTAAGGTTCTCTCGTGTTTGTTGTTGGAGCTGAACTCACTGATCCAGGGCTGGTCTGGTTCTCGTCTGTCCGTAGGAAGTGTCCGTCTCTGGGGCAGCAGTGTGTGTGGACGAGGGCCTGCTCCAGGACTGCTGCAGCAAACTGACTCTTCTACTCTCATCGTTATCTGAGAGAGAGAGGGACACAAGCCAGGTACAGCACTGTTACCAAGAACCAAGACTGAACCAGGACAAAACTTGGACTGAACCAGGACTAAACCCGGACTTAACCCGGACTGAACCGGGTCTGATCCAGGACTGAACCAAAACTCAAGAGGTCTAAAACAAGGTCCAAACCAGGACTAATCTAGGTCTAAACCATGAATGGAACCAGGTCTGAACCAAGTCTGAACCAGGTCTAAAACAGGTCTGAACCAGGACTGAACCAGGACTGCACCAGAACTGATCCAGGACAAAACCAGGGCTAAACACACATACAGCATTTCACAAAAACAGACGAGGAAGCATGGGTTAAAATGCTACTTCTATGATAACCAGCTGTATGTCTCTCTCTTCAGGAGGTGCTACAGAGACTCGCTCACATCGAGAAGGTCCTGGGTCCGTTTGCAGAGAACATGGATCCAAACGACAGCTCATCTCAGGGAGCACTTCTCCTCCTCCGCCTCCAGAGGGCGCTAAAGGACAGCTGCAAACAGATGAGCGGACCACAGCGGGAGGAGAGGAATGACCCACGCTCAGAGCAAAACACTGCGGAGGACTGTGAAGGAGAGAGGTGGGCAGTAGTGTATTGGGAAAGCTCTAGGCAAGGTTATTTGTGTTGCGCACTTCATACACAAGTGCGTAACGAAAGACAAGATAATCACCAGCCGTTTTTTATGATTTCACTGATTCTTAAGACCCACAGAATATTATCTGCTAGGACTACGTGAAATATGAAACCAGATTCTGAAACACTGGACTCTCTACTTTCATTAGCAAAAATCTGTTTGCTTTTAGCTATTTTTGTTGTCCTGTAATCCCCAGTGGAATAGAGGGAAGTTTGACAGAAATCACCGGTCTCAGACAAATACGTCAATGACAATCACTGAGTTAAAATCACAAGGCATTCCAATCATGAATAATCAAAGTGTTTTAAAATAACAGCGAACAAACAGGCTTCTTTCTGTTGGGATGAAACACATATCAATTAATTAAGAGAACAACAAAATTACGTCTCCCAGCTTTAATTTTCCTTATTTTGTGTTTTTTGATTATCATGTATGGTTTATAGGTCCAGCTTCAGGAGGTCTGGAGAAGACACAGAGACAACAAGAGGCAGGAGACTGAGGCAGCAGAGGACGGCGACAAACAAACCAACACAGTCCAGCCAGGTACACATACTGTACTGTGGTTAGCCATGCTTCTAAATCGATTAAGTTGTTGCGGTTAGTCTTGCTTCTAACCCAATTAAATCATTGTTGGTATAGGCATGTTTCTCAATGAATGAAATCGATTTGGTTGCATGAGGGTATGGGACAGAGTGGCTCAGTGAAGCGTGGTTAGCCCTGCTTCTAAAACCAGCCTCTCTGATTGCATTGCAGTCCAGGCTTCGACGACGGCTGTAGCTGCTGATGGTAGTTGTTTGTGCATCCTGTTCGAACCAGTTTTAAGTCGATTATTATGCAGCGTGTGCTTCAGAGAGAGAGTTAACTCCTGGTGTTATTAAAGGACGAGGATGTGCTGTACCTGTGACATTTATGGGAAAAATACACTCCAGAATTCAGAAAAGCATGCTGGGAATAAAATTATACATGTGTTAAAGAGGCACAAAGGCCAGAAAGGGCAGGAGTGTGTTGGCGCTAAGTGCTGCTCACAAAGACTTAGTAATTGGGGATTTTTCAGCGTTTCGGCGACCTATGTTTGGAGGACTTTTTACCACAAAAGTTTATTGGTTTTGTCAAAAGGATTCATGGTGTTAGAACGCTGAGATTTAAAGCTGGGGGACCTAATTCCTCGGGGCTATGTAGTTAGGTGCCAGCTTACTGCTAACTCCCAGGTCCTGTGTAAGAGGACTATCAGCAGGTAACAGGTTGGAGGCCTTCTCTCTCTCTCCAAACATCTCTCTCCAATCTCTCTCTCCAACCTCTCTCTCTAACCTCTCTCTCCGACCTCTCTCTCTAACCTCTCTCTCCGACCTCTCTCTCTAACCTCTCTCTCCGACCTCTCTCTCTAACCTCTCTCTCCGACCTCTCTCTCTAACCTCTCTCTCCGACCTCTCTCTCTAACCTCTCTCTCCGACCTCTCTCTCTAACCTCTCTCTCCGACCTCTCTCTCTAACCTCTCTCTCCGACCTCTCTCTAACCTCTCTCTCCGACCTCTCTCTCCGACCTCTCTCTCTGACCTCTCTCTCCGACCTCTCTCTCTAACGTCTCTCCGACCTCTCTCCGACCTCTCTCTAACCTCTCTCTCTGACCTCTCTCTCCGACCTCTCTCTCTAACCTCTCTCCGACCTCTCTCTAACCTCTCTCTCTGACCTCTCTCTCTAACCTCTCTCTCTAACCTCTCTCTCTGACCTCTCTCTCCGACCTCTCTCTAACCTCTCTCTCTGACCTCTGTCTAACCTCTCTCTCTGACCTCTCTCTAACCTCTCTCTCTGACCTCTCTCTAACCCCTCTCTCTCTGACCTCTCTCTCTAACCTCTCTCTCTGACCTCTCTCTCCGACCTCTCTCTAACCTCTCTCTCCGACCTCTCTCTAACCTCTCTCTCCGACCTCTCTCTCCGACCTCTCTCTAACCTCTCTCTCCGACCTCTCTCTAACCTCTCTCTCCGACCTCTCTCTAACCTCTCTCTCTGACCTCTCTCTCTGACCTCTCTCTCCGACCTCTCTCTAACCTCTCTCTCCGACCTCTCTCTAACCTCTCTCTCTAACCTCTCTCTCCGACCTCTCTCTCTAACCTCTCTCTCCGACCTCTCTCTAACCTCTCTCTCCGACCTCTCTCTAACCTCTCTCTCCGACCTCTCTCTAACCTCTCTCTCTGACCTCTCTCTCCGACCTCTCTCTAACCTCTCTCTCTGACCTCTCTCTCTGACCTCTCTCTCCGACCTCTCTCTAACCTCTCTCTCCGACCTCTCTCTAACCTCTCTCTCTGACTTCTCTCTCCGACCTCTCTCTAACCTCTCTCTCCAACCTCTCTCTCCGACCTCTCTCTAACCTCTCTCTCTGACCTCTCTCTCCGACCTCTCTCTAACCTCTCTCTCCGACCTCTCTCTAACCTCTCTCTCAGACCTCTCTCTAACCTCCCTCTCCGACCTCTCTCTCCGACCTCTCTCTAACCTCTCTCTCCGACCTCTCTCTCTAACCTCTCTCTCCGACCTCTCTCTAACCTCTCTCTCTGACCTCTCTCTGACCTCTCTCTCCGACCTCTCTCTAACCTCTCTCTCCGACCTCTCTCTCTAACCTCTCTCTCCGACCTCTCTCTAACCTCTCTCTCCGACCTCTCTCTAACCTCTCTCTCTGACCTCTCTCTAAACTTTCTCTCCGACCTCTCTCTCTCTAACCTCTCTCTCTGACCTCTCTCTCTAACCTCTCTCTCTGACCTCTCTCTCCGACCTCTCTCTAACCTCTCTCTGACCTCTCTCTCCGACCTCTCTCTCCGACCTCTCTCCAACCTCTCTCTCTGACCTCTTTCTCTAACCTCTCTCTCTGACCTCTCTCTCCGACCTCTCTCTAACCTCTCTCTCTAACCTCTCTCTCTGACCTCTCTCTCCGACCTCTCTCTCTAACCTCTCTCTCTGACCTCTCTCTAACCTCTCTCTCCGACCTCTCTCTCCGACCTCTCTCTAACCTCTCTCTCTGACCTCTCTCTCTAACCTCTCTCTCTGACCTCTCTCTCCGACCTCTCTCTAACCTCTCTCTCTGACCTCTCTCTCCAACCTCTCTCTAACCTCTCTCTCTGACCTCTCTCTCCGACCTCTCTCTAACCTCTCTCTCTGACCTCTCTCTCCGACCTCTCTCTAACCTCTCTCTCTGACCTCTCTCTCTAACCTCTCTCTCTGACCTCTCTCTAACTTCTCTCTCTAACCTCTCTCTCCGACCTCTCACTCTAACCTCTCTCTCTGACCTCTCTCTAACCTCTCTCTCTGACCTCTCTCTCCGACCTCTCTCTAACCTCTCTCTCTGACCTCTCTCTCCGACCTCTCTCTAACCTCTCTCTCTGACCTCTCTCTCCGACCTCTCTCTAACCTCTCTCTCCGACCTCTCTCTCTAACCTCTCTCTCTGACCTCTCTCTCCGACCTCTCTCTATCCTCTCTCTCTGACCTCTCTCTCTAACCTCTCTCTCTGACCTCTCTCTAACCTCTCTCTCTAACCTCTCTCTCCGACCTCTCTCTCTAACCTCTCTCTCCTCTAACCTCTCTCTACCTCTCTCAACCTCTCTCTCTGACTTCTCTCTAACCTCTCTCTCCGACCTCTCTCTAACCTCTCTCTCTAAACTCTCTCTCCAACCTCTCTCTAACCTCTCTCTAACCTCTCTCTCTAACCTCTCTCTCCGACCTCTCTCTAACCTCTCTCTCTGACTTCTCTCTAACCTCTCTCTCCGACCTCTCTCTAACCTCTCTCTCTAACCTCTCTCTCCGACCTCTCTCTAACCTCTCTCCGACCTCTCTCTAACCTCTCTCTCTGACTACTCTCTAACCTCTCTCTCCGACCTCTCTCTAACCTCTCTCTCCGACCTCTCTCTCCAACCTCTCTCTCGACCTCTCTCTCTAACCTCTCTCTCCGACCTCTCTCTAACCTCTCTCTAACCTCTCTCTCTAACCTCTCTCTCCGACCTCTCTCTAACCTCTCTCTCTAACCTCTCTCTCTAACCTCTCTCTAACCTCTCTCTCTGACTTCTCTCTAACCTCTCTCTCCGATCTCTCTCTAACCTCTCTCTCCGACCTCTCTCTAACCTCTCTCTCCGACCTCTCTCTAACCTCTCTCTCTGACTTCTCTCTAACCTCTCTCTCCGACCTCTCTCTAACTCTCTCTCTAACCTCTCTCTCCGACCTCTCTCTAACCTCTCTCTCCGACTCTCTCACCTCTCTCTAACTCTCTCTCTGACCTCTCTCTAACCTCTCTCTCCGACCTCTCTCTAACCTCTCTCTCTAACCTCTCTCTCCGACCTCTCTCTAACCTCTCTCTCTGACTTCTCTCTAACCTCTCTCTCCGACCTCTCTCTAACCTCTCTCTCCGACCTCTCTCTCCGACCTCTCTCTAACCTCTCTCTCTAACCTCTCTCTCTAACCTCTCTCTAACCTCTCTCTCTAACCTCTCTCTCTCCGACCTCTCTCTAACCTCTCTCTCTGACTTCTCTCTAAACTCTCTCTCCGACCTCTCTCTAACCTCTCTCTCCGACCTCTCTCTAACCTCTCTCTCCGACCTCTCTCTAACCTCTCTCTCTGACTTCTCTCTAACCTCTCTCTCCGACCTCTCTCTAACCTCTCTCTCCGACCTCTCTCTCCGACCTCTCTCTAACCTCTCTCTCTAACCTCTCTCTCCGACCTCGCTCTAACCTCTCTCTCCGATCTCTCTCTAACCTCTCTCTCCGACCTCTCTCTAACCTCTCTCTCCGACCTCTCTCTAACCTCTCTCTCTGACCTCTCTCTCCGACCTCGCTCTAACCTCTCTCTCCGATCTCTCTCTAACTCTCTCTCCGACCTCTCTCTAACCTCTCTCTCCGACCTCTCTCTAACCTCTCTCTCTAACCTCTCTCTCCGACCTCTCTCTAACCTTTCTCTCTGACTCTCTCTCTAACCTCTCTCTCCGACCTCTCTCTAACCTCTCTCTCCGACCTCTCTCTAACCTCTCTCTCTAACCTCTCTCTCCGACCTCTCTCTAACCTCTCTCTCCGACCTCTCTCTCTGACCTCTCTCTCCGACCTCTCTCTAACCTCTCTCTCCGACCTCTCTCTAACCTCTCTCTCCAACCTCTCTCTAACCTCTCTCTCTGACCTCTCTCTCCGAACTCTCTCTAACCTCTCTCTCCGACCTCTCTCTAACCTCTCTCTCCAACCTCTCTCTAACCTCTCTCTCTGACCTCTCTCTCCAACCTCTCTCTAACCTCTCTCTCCGACCTCTCTCTAACCTCTCTCTCTGACCTCTCTCTCTAACCTCTCTCTCTGACCTCTCTCTCTGACCTCTCTCTCTAACCTCTCTCTCTGACCTCTCTCTCTGACCTCTCTCTCTAACCTCTCTCTCTGACCTCTCTCTCCGACCTCTCTCTCTCACCTCTCTCTCCGACCTCTCTCTGACCTCTCTCTCCGACCTCTCTCTCTAACCTCTCTCTCTGACCTCTCTCTCTAACCTCTCTCTCCGACCTCTCTCTCCGACCTCTCTCTCTAACCTCTCTCTAACCTCTCTCTCTAACCTCTCTCCGACCTCTCTCTAACCTCTCTCTCCGACCTCTCTCTCCGACCTCTCTCTCTAACCTCTCTCTAACCTCTCTCTCTAACCTCTCTCCGACCTCTCTCTAACCTCTCTCTCCGACCTCTCTCTCCGACCTCTCTCTCTAACCTCTCTCTAACCTCTCTCTACCTCTCTCCGACCTCTCTCTCTAACCTCTCTCTCCGACCTCTCTCTCCGACCTCTCTCTCTAACCTCTCTCTAACTCTCTCTCCGACCTCTCTCTCCGACCTCTCTCTCTAACCTCTCTCTCCGACCTCTCTCTCCGACCTCTCTCTCTAACCTCTCTCTCCAACCATCTCTCCATCTCTCTCTCCAACCTCCAACATTATGCAACACCATGAGCCCCAGGCTGAGAACTGAAAACCAGTCAATCTGAGATATATTATAATTATTATTGATTACTGTATCATGAATGATGTGATTTATTATGTAGCATGTTTGCTTTAATGGATCAATGTGTAAAAGTTAAATTACTATGTGTTAGACCAATCTACTGAAGATGAACCAAAGAGTACAGACTGAAAATGTAAAATGTTTAGAAATGGGTTTAGGATTGTATAAAGGTAATTGTCAATTTTGTTCTTACATGTATTGTTTTTGGGGCCCCGCCTATAAGCTAATGCCGCTTATAACCCTAACCCTTTTACAAAACACCAACCAACTTCACAAATACATTGCATATAACTTGAATTTCTGTAGGTAAAGAATTGAATCTCTCCATCTCTCCAGTTCTCCTCGGAGTAGGCACATTTTTCTGATATATCTATTTGTATCTTGTAACTCTTTAGTGTCATTTAATCGTCCTCTTCTATATGTACTTGGCTGTAGTTTATCACCACCGTGGTTAGAGTGAGTCCTGATAAGTGCTGTATAAAACAGATGCACTGTTATTATTTTAACAAAATCTTTGGCAACCTCCCCATAGCAGCATAATGAATGTTACCAATGTTACGAATCTTGTTTTTTTTTTTCTCCACAGAATCCTAATGTTTTGGAAGAATTCATTTCGCTCGACAAAGAAACTAACACCGAATCCAAATCTCAACCGTCGCCTCCTCATCAGAGCGAGAGGGAGATTGAAACCCGAGAGCCTTTGAGCCCGGAGGATAAAGGCTTTTCTGCTCTTCCCGGATTTCACAAACAGACCCAGGTCACTTCTGCCTCCGATGCTCAACAAACTCAAACCAATGCCCAAGAAGCACAAAGAAAAATATGTGAAAAATCGACAAGATGCAAAACTAGTTCTGAAGATTCATATGAGATTTGTAAAGGTTTTTGTGGTTTCGGAGACGCAAAAGTGAGGCCTCTGTGGGATCTGAAAGGGTTAACAGAGAATGAAGAGACAAGAGAAAGAGAAGGAGATGGAACGTGTGTGAATGAAGACAGGACACGGTTTATGGACAGTGTTGGGCGACTGCTGGGAGAAGTATGCAGGCTACGGCTCCCCGGGTTGTACGAGGATGTGGCCAAGCAGGTACCAGATGTGATACACAAAATAACACACACACACACACCAGGGCTCGAACACTCTCTGACCCAACACCACCGTCCATAAATGTTAATAAATGATCACCACTGTCCTCAGACCATCCCACATCGGGACTGAGGCTGTAGAACCAAGACTGAGGCTGTAGATCCAGGACTAAGGCTGTAGAACCAAGACTGAGGCTGTAGATCCAGGACTGAGGCTGTAGAACCAAGACTGAGGCTGTAGATCCAGGACTGAGGCTGTAGATCCAGGACTGAGGCTGTAGAACCAAGACTGAGGCTGTAGATCCAGGACTGAGGCTGTAGAACCAAGACTGAGGCTGTAGATCCAGGACTGAGGCTGTAGACCCAGGACTGAGGCTGTAGATTGAACAGTTAACAGATTTTTTTTTTAAAATCTCATCCCTAAACTAAACTTCTTTTACACCTAAAACATTTTTTTTGAAAGATAGTTTTTATTACTCCAGGATTTCTCTGACATTTCCCGCTCCTCTCTCTCGTCGCGCCGTGAGTCTGTGATCACTCTAACTTGTCATTTTACATTTGGCATTTTACTACTGTTATTTCTGCGCTGAGTTCGACCCAGGCTGAGCCATCATTTGGATGTATTTTCATTGTAAAAGTTTGACATTTTAACTTGTGATTTGTAACTTTTCTTGCAGAGAGCATTAGTCACCTCTTATAATCACGACCATATTTGTACTTTTTCAGCAGCACAGAAAAAAGGATTTTCCAAAAACAAAGCAGACTTACTATACTTTCTTATAATACTATATTTGAATACTGGGTTTGGGTGCTGGGTTCGATTCCACCTGCAACTCGCTCTGGCTCCTATTGACTTACATTGATCGTGTCATACTCACCACAGAGAGACCAGAGAGAGACCATAGAGAGACCAGAGAGAGACCAGAGAGAGACAGAGAGAGACCAGAGAGACCAGAGAGAGACCAGAGAGAGACCAGAGAGAGACCAGAGAGAGAGCAGAGAGAGACCAGTGAGAGACCAGAGAGAGAGAGACCAGAGAGAGAGAGACTAGAGAGAGAGAGACCAGAGAGAGACCAGAGAGAGACCAGAGAGAGACCAGAGAGAGACCAGAGAGAGACCAGAGAGAGACCAGAGAGAGAGCAGAGAGAGACCAAAGAGAGAGACCAGAGAGAGACCAGAGAGAGAGCAGAGAGAGACCAAAGAGAGAGCAGAGAGAGACCAGAGAGAGAGCAGAGAGAGACCAGATAGAGAGACCACAGAGAGAGACCACAGAGAGAGACCAGAGAGAGACAGAGAGAGACCATAGAGAGAGACCATAGAGAGAGACCATAGAGAGAGACCATAGAGAGAGACCATAAAGAGAGACCATAGAGAGAGACCAGAGAGAGAGAGACCAGAGAAAGACCAGAGAGAGAGAGACCAGAGAGAGAGAGACCATAGAGAGAGAGACCAGAGACAGACCATAGAAAGGCCAGAGAGAGACCGGAAAGAGACAAGAGATTTTGAGCTTACAAAAGGAGACCAGGAGAAGACCCAGGACACAGAGGGACTGTGTCTCTCAGCTGGCCTGGGTACGCCTCAGGATTCCCCCAGATGAGCAGGAGGAAGTGTGTGTGGAGAAGGAAGTCTGAGCGTCTCTGCTAAAAGGTTTTCCAAGTATCTCTACAGACTGTACTTAGGGAAAAATGTCAAATACTGCTGCTATGTCAAAGCGGTCTGTCATTAGTCTGACGTGCTCTGAGCATGTGCTCTCTGCTCACTCCTGACAACAAACAGTTACTGTTTTGTAAACATTGTGTTACAGTTCATATTGTTTGTCCACTGTTTTGTCTCAGTACAACACAGTGGGGAAGTGTTTTGAAATTTTACAATGTTATTTTTATCTCAAAATTATGTTGTTTGGTTCTCAAACATCACATGTATCACCTGTAAAACTACTTTATCCATGAATAAACCATGGATTTGTTAAGCTCATAATGGTGAGTGTGAGACAATCGGTTACTGAGGTCAATAGGAGCCAGAGCGAGTTGGAAAAAAAATGTCTTAGCATTGTCCATCTATATACAATCTATCGTCTATGGGTACGGGTTAAACAGGGCCAGTGGAAAGTAATAGAGTAGACCCGAGTAGAGTAGAGGAAAGATGATTGAATGGAGCTTTAGATATTATGGTTTAAAAGTCAACTCTATTCTCTGTTATCATAATTTCAACTTGCTCTGATTATTTACTTATTTACTTATTTACTTACGAAGACTAGTGAGAAACTAGAGAGAGACCAGAGAGAGAGATTAGAGAGAAACTAGAGAGAGAGACTAGAGAGATTAGAAAGAAACTAGAGAGAGAAACTAGAGAGACTAGAGAGAAACTAGAGAGACTAGAGAGAGACTAGAGAGAGAGACTAGAGAGAGAGACTAGAGAGAGAGACTAGAGAGAGAGACTAGAGAGAGAGACTAGAGAGAGAGACTAGAGAGAGAGACTAGAGAGAGAGACTAGAGAGAGAGACCAGAAAGAGAGACCAGAGAGAGAGACTAGAGAGATTAGAGAGACTAGAGAGATTAGAGAGAGACTAGAGAGAGACTAGAGAGAGACTAGAGAGAAACTAGAGAGAGACTAGAGAGAGACTAGAGAGAGACCAGAAAGAGAGACCAGAGAGAGACTAGAGAGAGAGACTAGAGAGAGAGACTAGAGAGAGACTAGAGAGAGACTAGAGAGAGACCAGAGAGAGAGACTAGAGAGAGAGACTAGAGAGAGACTAGAGAGAGAGACCAGAAAGAGAGACCAGAGAGAGAGACTAGAGAGAGACCAGAGAGAGAGACTAGAGAGAGACCAGAGAGAGAGACTAGAGAGAGACTAGAAAGAGACTAGAGAGACCAGAGAGAGAGACTAGAGAGAGACCAGAGAGAGAGGCTAGAGAGAGACTAGAGTGAGAGACCAGAGAGAGACTAGAGAGAGACTAGAGAGACCAGAGAGAGAGACTAGAGAGAGACTAGAGAGATACCAGAGAGAGACCAGAGAGAGACTAGAGAGAGGCACCAGAAAGAGTATAGAAAGAGAGGGACCGGAGAGAGACTAGAGAGATTAGAGAGACTAGAGAGAAACTAGAGAGAGACCGGAGAGAGAGACTAGGACTAGAGAGAGACCAGAAAGAGAGACCAGAAAGAGAGACCAGAGAGAGAGACTAGAGAGAGACCAGAGAGAAACCAGAGAGAGAGTAGAGAGAGGCACCAGAAAGAGTCTAGAAAGAGAGGGACCAGAGAGAGACTAGAGAGAGATCAGAAAGAGACCCTAGAGACCACAGAGAGTTAATATTTAAAAGTCAAACTTCATTCCCATTTATCATAACTAGATCCCTGTTCCACTCTCACAGAGACTGAATCGCTGCTTGCTTTTGTCACGCCCCGGAGCTAAAGCCGGCGTCACAGTAAACACAGTAAACTACAGCTTGAACCAGGAGCTCAGAGGCAGGTTTCCCCTTTCCCCCCGGGTCAGTCTCTTCAGGCACATTCTTCTTCCACGGCACTCTCACACTCACCTCAGTCTGGGCTGGGATCGCACTGCAAGCCTTGTTTAGTGTCTGTGGACTAACACTGGATTGGATGTGAGGCTGAAATCCAACACCGGCTGATGCCCTGTGTGTTTCAGCCGGCCTTAGAAATGGAATCGGAGAAGACAGACCTACGGACCGGTGGCGGCGGGACGGCAGAGGGGACAGGTGGATGGTCGGAGGTCACCATGAGAGAGGTTTTAGACGGGGTCCAGGACTTGGTGGAAAACAGCTGCATTATAAATGTGAGTATCGGCTTTCACTTGCTTTGTTCCCGTGACCCATATTGTCTGTGCGTGTTGAGTTTCTTATAGTTTTGCCGCAGTACAGATCAAAACAAAACTTTCAATATTCTTTTCTACCTTCTCCGTCAAGTTCATTTGTATGGCACGCAAGAAAAGAAACATTAGAATCACACAAGGAATTAAAATCACAGTGCATTAAAAAGAGGAAAGGTACAATCCTTGAACTGTTTTAACCTGGATTTGAACATTGCCAGAGAAGAAGCCTGTCTCACATTTTCAGGAGGATAAATCTGAAATGCTGCCTCGCCATGTTTAGTCCTCACTAAACATGGCCCTGTGCTCCTCAGAGTCCACAGCAGGAGGCCAATCCCTGTGCTCCTCAGAGTCCACAGCAGGAGGCCAGTCCCTGTGCTCCTCAGAGTCCACAGCAGGAGGCCAGTCCCTGTGCTCCTCAGAGTCCACAGCAGGAGGCCAGTCCCTGTGCTCCTCAGAGTCCACAGCAGGAGGCCAGTCCCTGTGCTCCTCAGAGTCCACAGCAGGAGGCCAGTCCCTGTGCTCCTCAGAGTCCACAGCAGGAGGCCAGTCCCTGTGCTCCTTAGAGTTGGCTCATTTGGCTCTAACATGTCACAGATGTACTTTGGTGTGAGGCCAAGGTCTTAATAAAATCAATACAACTAAGCTAAGTGATTGTGTTGTGCTTAAAACTTAAAATAAGCATGAATACTTTGAAGTAAAAGGCCCATGGTGTTTTAATTGTAGCTTGTGTTTTCCCGTAATGAATCTTCAAATCTCCTTCATAGAAAACACTTGTGTCCACTTGATTACCTGAAATTTTCTCCCAAAAAGCCCTCTTCTGTGGCATTTATAGACCTGTCCCAGTGACGAGTGGAGGCTTAGTTTTACATCCATTTAAATGTGTTGTTTCATTGAATAATTGTTTGTGGGTTTGGAATAGCATCACAAAAGACACAAGGCACATGAGCTTCCTGAACACTGTGGGCACAAACTCCGACTGAAGACCAAAATAGGTCCACGGTAAACAGTGAATGTTGTATTTTATCCAGTGAAAACTAAGCATACCTTTAACTGTAGTTGGATTGGGTGAATGGCGGGAGGGACAGAGCGGATGGAGGAGGTGGTGAGATATGAGGAGTTTTTTGAGGATGGGGTGAAGTGGTCTCTGGAGCGGGTCTGGTTGAGCAGGCAGGTGGATATACTGCAGTTATTGGAGATGAGTGGATGGGAAACCATAGAGGAGGCTGGAGCAGTAGGCTGGATGTGACCAAGATGAGGATTTCTGTTGTACATGAGAGAGTGAGAGACAAGAGAGAGATATTCCAAAGAGAGAGTCCAGAGAGAGAGACCAAGGAGAGAGGTCAGAGAGAGAGAGAGAGATTCCAAAGAGAGAGACCAGAGAGAGGTGAACCGTGTTATAGCGAGGGACCACTGTATTTTAACACATTTTACAATGTGGTTGCAATTGAATCTTATGCGACTGTGAGTTGGTGGAGTTGTTTGAGGACAGGGGTGATGTGGTCTCTGGGTATATTGCCATTTTTGGAGATGAGTGGAAGGGAGACCATGGAAGAGGCCAAAGCAGTAGTGGAGTCTGTAGATGATGAAGGCCTGGATGACGATTTCTGCACTTACCAATTGTGTTTTTTACAACAGAGAGAACCACGGCTCGACCTAAAGTGGTTCCTGAGGTCCTTCCCTGGTGATGCTGAACTCCAGTTGATGCAGACGGTTCAGAGAATGTTTATTTGCCGCTACCAGCCGGCACTGCTCAACCTCCCTGCCATGACAAGACAGCTACAAGAGACAGAGGTAAAATGTTACTACTTTAAATTCACTATAATAATACTCAAATACATTTCACCCATAGCCTCATGCTGCTAACATGTGCTGTAATATTTTGTTGTCGTTTGTAGAACCTCAAACGCTGTGTTCAGGAGAAAGTGGATGCAATAAAACAAAAAAATGGAGAGGCCTCAAAAAGCCTTGAAAGCCTGTGTGGCGCCGCCCTGCTGGAGGCCTCTGCCACAGCACAAGTGAAATCTACACAATTAGAGGAGATTAGACAATACCACAGAAGTTTGAAGACAATCAAAGCATTCCTGGAGGTGGTGAGGACTCGGAAGGAGAATATGAACTTGTAAGTGTAAAGAGTTATTACTGTAAAACTGAACAGTGGTCCCTGGTTCAGCGCGGGGGTGATGTGTTCTAAAAATAACCTGCAATTAGTGAAATTCTTGAAGTGGCGAATGTTTTAAAGCTGTAAAACCCTCACCCTGAGAGACCAGCGACAGACCAGAGAGACCAGGAGATCAATGACCAGCGAGAAAGATGTGAGAAAAAGCAGAGAGCGAGAGAGACCACAGAGAGAAACCAGAGAGATACCAGAGAGAGAGAGACCAGAGAGAAACCAGAGAGAGAGAGAGACCAGAGAGAAACTAGAAATAGACACCAGAGAGAAACCAGAGCGAGAGAGAGACCAGAGAGAAACCAGAGAGACAGACCAGAGAGAGACCACAGAGAGAGACCACAGAGATACCAGAGATAGACACCAGAGAGAAACCAGAGAGAGAGACACCAGAGAGAGAAACCAGAGAGAGAGACCAGAGAGAGACCACAGAGAAACCAGAGAGAGAGACCCTAGACAGTCCTCTACACTAATCATGGCAGTGCAGAGACTAGAGACCAGAGAGAGAGAAAGAGACCACAGACAGACCAGAGAGAGACCAGAAAGCGACTCTAGTTACATCAGAGAGAGAACTACTCACTGCAGTACACATAAGACACAAATGTTTCCGTCTGACTTTATAAAAAGTTATCTCTAGCGGTTATATCATGTTGTATATAACATTTTCAACACACGCTCCAAAGGTGAACCGAGTTACAGCGAGGCACCACTGTATTTGAAAAACTTTTGCAATGTTGCTGCAATTGAATCTTGTTATTTTCTTTAGGGACACTCTGGGAAGCTGGGAAGTTATAGCAGAAAATCTCAACGCTCTCCTGAAGACTATGGAGCATAAAAAGTGCCTTATTGATGATTTTATCAAGTTAAGCCGTCAGTTATCCCACCACTTAAGCCACACTGATAGATACGGAGTGCTTGGGGCCCATATCGTCGACGTTCAGGAAGAATGGAGATTGCTGGAACAAAACATCAAAACAACACTGCAACATGCTTCAAACTCAGACTCTCAGCTTTCCGCCTTCAGACAAAAAACCAAAGAACTTAGAGTCAAACTTGAAGACGTTCTCATTTCGTCGGAATCCTTTGTGATTCTACCAAATATGAGAAACACAATGCATTTGCTAACATGGACAGCAGACGTTAACGTTTATATTCAGCATTATGCACATTTGCGGTCACAGTTCAACGATAATAATCACTTTTATGTTAGAGAAAAAGACCAGAATGACTTGGTTAAAGCTCTAGAAGGCCTGAGTACTCTTGTCAATGAAACCAAGATGAGACTCGGACTTTTAACTGGCAAATGTGAGGGAAGGTTGTCCAAAAACAGGCAACTACAAGATCTGCTGGCATTGGCCAAACAAGCAGAACATCACATGATTACAGCGGACAAAATGCCGTTATTTCCTGAATCGGCTCGTATTCAGATAGCAGAGATGGAAATATTTCGCACTAAGCTTTTGTCAAGGGAAGCCCAGGTTCAAGAAGTTTTATTTCAGGACATGAAAGCGATGGCGGTAGAAGAAAGACACCACGTCCATCAAGCATTAAAAGACCTATTTCAGACTATTTTCGGCAATTTGAATACATGCCTTGAAACTATGCAAGACCGCTTAAAGCTTAGGGAAACTGTGTTCAGGCAGCTTGCAGATATAGATGAATGGCTTGCCGGATTTCAGAACAAGAAAGACTTTTTCGAACCAGTTAAAAGTTTCCAACAGGAGGATCTTGCTATTCTAAAAACACAGCTAGAGATTCACAGTAAAAATGTAGTGGAAATCGAGGGTAAACGCAAAGTAGTGGATGGATTGGAGGAAAGTTGGAGGCTTATTTTGGGAAGTTTGAGTCCAGGAGAGAGCTGCTATTTGGTGAATAGAGTGGCAGGAAACCAAATGGACATTGGCGGAATTTTAGCTCACGAAGAGGCTGTTGTTGTTGAATTGGAAGAGCGTATCTACCATCAGACGCAATGCAAAGAGGATTTATCAAAACTTGAAACAAGTTTGCAGCAGATTCTCGCTGCTCTGAACCAACAAAGGTTTCCGTTAAAGCTAGAATCTGTCTCGGAAATGCTGCTGCTAAAGTACAAGCTAACACAACATCAAAGCCAAGTTCATGGAATGGAACCTATCAAGGAAACTGTGCGTACTTCAGTGTTGGATACCCTTGGAGAACTCTTTAACAAGTGCAATGTTTTGAGCCTCTGCGCCGTAGAGCAAGTCAAATATTCACAACTGCAAAGACGTATTGAGGAGTGGAAGAGAATTGTCGAAGAGCAAATAGCTAAGGCCAAAGATAAAGCAACCAGTTTGGGAGAAAGATTTAGACTTTGCCAACGTTTGCTGGTCGAACTGCCTTTGGTGAAGACGGGATGTCAAGAAGTCGCAGATCAACTGGAGACAATAGCACCAGCATTACGTCCTTCTGAGTTGAACGCAGAAAGAGAGAGGATCCAAAAGACTGTGGTCGCACTGGTCAGCTGGGAGAGCCTTGTCACAGACGATGTTAAAAACCTGGAAAACAAACTCAGACTCGGACTACGCTTCGAAACCGAACTTCTTGCGGTAATGGGACTGCTGCAAACCATCAGACAAGAACTGGAGGAGGCTGGACCCGTGGATCCAGACGAGAGGGCTGTGGACGTGAGGCTGCAGAGGCTCTGGGTGTGCTGGAGGAACATGGAGTCGGCCATGAGGGTCCTGGAAGGTCTTGCCAGGAAGGAGAAGAAGGATCTGAGACGTCACGAGGAGCTGTACGCGACCAGAGACGCAGCAGTGAAGGAGTGTGTTGTGCAGATGGTGAGTTTCATATTCATGGATTAAAACTGTGCACTTGTTTCATTGCTCAAGTTTTTATAATTATTTTAGAAGCAATAATTATGGTTGAATATCTAATTATAACTCTAATGTCTATGCAGTTTATCACAGCAAGTTTGAGTAACGTCCGGGTTTGAACAGCTGTGTGTTCTTGCATTCAAACCTGCCTAAATGGTGTGTGGTAGTCGTTCAATTCAATGTCTTTGTGTATAACCCTAAATCACAACAGCAGCAGTTATCTCGGAGGACTTTACAAAGTTGTTGATTTGCCAACATCAGATCAGAGAATCAAACAGTTTGAAAGCAGGAAATGTATTAACAGAAAACTTGCCACTTGTCCAGGAGAGTAAGATGCTAATAAATGTCCATTAATACAAAAAAAAATGTCTGTAGTAGCCTTTACAAACATGCCTTGCTTCTGTTAGTGTGCCCCAGGGCAGCTGTAGCTACAGTAGTAGTTTTTTTCTATACATTCTTGAATATTGAAATTCTCTGTGCTCTCTCTCTCTGTTTAATTTTGTGGTCTCTCTCTCTCTGGGCTCTCTCTGGTTTCTCTGTGGTCTCTCTGGTTTCTTCGTGGTGTCTCTACCTGATCTGTCTTTCTCTCTGGTCTCTCTCTGGTTTCTCTGTGGTCTCTCTTTAGTCTCTCTCTGGGCTCTCTCTGGTTTCTCTGTGGTCTCTCTCACTGGTCTCTCTTTAGTCTCTCTCTGGTCTTTCTCTCTAGGCTCTCTCTGGTCATTCTCTCTGGTCTGTGTCTCTCTTGTCTCTCTCTCTATGGACAAAATTATCTTCAAAAATATATTTGATGCATTTTATATACAGGTGCCATTAATATTCCAGAAAGTCCTTTTTTTATTACTTATTTTTTCCACATTTTTCTTGTTTCACAGCTATAGATACCTCAGCTTTAATGTAAATCAACCCATTAACAACCGTTGAACCTGCTTCTTCTTCCTTTCTCCTTCCTTTCCCCTTTCTTTCTCTGATCACACAGGAGAGTCTCTCACAAGCGCGTGATTCTCTGAAAGATTACGAATGGGCCTCACAGGGAGCTCTCGTCTTCCTTGGTAACGCCGAGGCTACGTTTCTGTCATCCGGAGCGGGAGTGTTTTTGGGGGTCCCAGAGGAGCACAGAGTGAGCCACCAGGCCCTGGAGGCTCTGAGGGCCGGGCTGGAAGCACACATGAACCATCTGACCGCTCTCAGACCCCAGCAGCTGTGCCTGTCCCGCACAAAGATGGAGGATGTTCACGCGGAGATCGTTGCTCAGTTTGTGGTGAGGCGATCTGTGCTGGAGGCTCAAGCCCAACTACGGCTCGAGGAAGCGCACAGGTACTGGAGGAATTATTCACAAAAGAAAGATTACAAACTATATTGGGATACAGTGGTTCTTTGCTATAACTCTCTAGTCTCGCTCTGGTCTCTCTCTGCTCTTTCTTCGCTCTCTCTTCTTGGTCTCTCTCTAGTCTCCCTCTGGTTTCTCTCAGGTCACTCTCTAGCATCTCTGGTCTCTCTCTGGTCCCTCTCTCTAGTCTCTGGTCTCTCTCTGGTCTCTCTCTCTGGTCCCTCTCTCTAGTCTCTGGTCTTTCTCTGGTCTCTCTCTCTGGTCCCTCTCTCTAGTCGCTGGTCTCTCTCTGGTCTCTCTCTCTGGTCTCTCTCTCTGGTTCCTCTCTCTAGTCTCTGGTTTCTCTCTGGTCTCTCTCTCTCTCTGGTCCCTCTCTCTAGTCTCTGGTCTCTCTCTGGTCTCTCTCTCTGGTCCCTCTCTCTAGTCTCTGGCCTCTCTCTGGTCTCTCTCTGTTCTCTCTCTAGTCCCTCTCTCTAGTCTCTGGTCTCTCACTTCAGCCGTTTAGATGCATGTTATTTTTAGAACACATCACCCCCGCGATAAACCAGGGACCAGTACATCTACAAATTCTACCTTCTTCTGTGTGTAGGAGTTCCGAAAGGCACCAAAACTACTCCAGTAAACACGCAGATGTGCAGGAGGTGATCTGTGGACTTGAAGACGATCTTTCCAAGTGTGCAACTGAACATATCACTTCTTATGAAAAATTTGTTTTTCAACATAAAAGAGCCGAGGTAGGCCCTAAACTCTAAACCCTGACCCTGTCCCTGGAGCTGTTCCTTTTACATTCTGACTGTTTTAATAAATACCCAACATTGTGAGAATTTGTGTGTTCTGTGTTTGTAGCAGTTAATGGGGCATCTCCAGAGACTCGCTGGGGAGATGGAGGAGCTGGAGGCTGGACGACCGATGAACAACTGTGGGGCAGGGAGTGCGGAGGAGGAGGGCGCCCTCTGGAGGAAGTGGACTGCATTACGGCGTGGCGCTGGCCTCCTGTCGGCCCACACTGAGCTGAAGGCCTGGGAATGGAAGAACAGGACCACTGTGAGTTTGTTTTAAGCATAGTTTCGGAAGACATTCAACACTAGAAGTCCCAGAGCCGTCATTATGACTGCTCCCATTCAATAAATTGGAGAAATTGTTCTGATAAATGTTATGTTTTTCTGTGTATTTTTTAACATGTGTTTTGCTACCAGACCACCCGCTAAATATGAAATTGTTAGAAGTAGACACTTAAATGAAAACACGGGTGAACTATTTATGGGAATGATCCATTTTGAGAACACATCATGTTCTACTGTAGATGAACTGCTTAACTCTGTCACCTCTAGTGTGTTGAATGTTCTGGACGCCATTGCCCCTGTGAAGGTAAAAATGGTCACAAATAAGCAAAAAGCCCCATGGATAAAAGCAGGCCCGGTCAGGGCACAGAAGCAAGAGTGCCGGAGAGCAGAGAGAAAGTGGAGAAAGTCCAACCTCCAGGGTGATTATAGACTCTTAAAAGAGAAGTTGTGTGAGTTTAACAGAGTACTACGTAGAACAAGAGAATTATACTTTTCTGAAACTATTGAAGGCTGCAGCAACAATCTGCGTGTTCTATTTTCAACAATCAATAGATTAACGAACCCCCCTGTTGAGTTGCCATTAGAACACTACTCCAAATCCAGGTGTAATGAGTTTGCACAGTTCTTCAGAGACAAGGTTCAGGGTATCAGAAATGCCATCACCTCTACAACACAAGTAACAATGCAACATCCAGTGAGGCTTTGTGAGCTAGCTCAATTTGCACCTGTCAATGATGAAACTGTTAAAAAGATAATCACAGGTCTTAGTTCCTCTACCTGCAGTCTGGATGTACTACCTCCTAGATTTCTGAAGTCTGTTATGTCTAGTCTATTACCCTCATTGACACAAATAGTAAACATGTCTTTTTTATCTGGAACATTTCCAATGGCCCTGAAAAAGGCAGTCATTAGGCCCCTCCTAAAAAAGAGCAGTTTGGATGCTGCGGTACTTGAAAATTACCGTCCCATCTCAAATCTGCCTTTCATGGGAAAAATTCTTGAAAAAGTTGCCTACCAACAACTTACTGAATTTTTAATATCTAATGACTCATTTGACATGTTTCAGTCTGGCTTTAGACCACACCACAGTACTGAGACCGCTCTAGTCAAGGTAACAAATGATATTCGGCTTAACACTGATGCAGGAAAAGTCTCTGTTTTAGTCATGTTAGATCTGAGTGCCGCTTTCGACACCGTTGACCATGAGATTCTCATGCAGAGACTGGAGGACTGGGTTGGTGTTGCTGGTACCGCCCTAAGCTGGTTTAGGTCCTATCTAGAAGAAAGGAAGTACTGTGTGGAGATTGGAAACTGTGTCTCAGATAATATGGCCCTGACCTGCGGAGTGCCACAGGGGTCGATTCTGGGACCTCTCCTGTTCAATATTTACATGCTGCCATTAGGTCAGTTAATTCAAAGTATGAAAGTGTCCTACCACAATTACGCTGATGACACTCAGATCTATGTCTCACTGACTGCAGGAGAGCATGGGCCGGTGGACTCACTCCTTCGCTGTATCCAGCGGATCAGTGAGTGGATGCAATGCAATTTTCTCCAGCTAAATGCGGACAAAACCGAAATGATTGTCTTTGGTCCCGAGAAACAAAGAGAGACCGTCATTTGTCACCTTCAGTCTCTCTCCCTAAGGCCCTTAAATAAGGTCAGAAATCTGGGAGTAATAATGGACTCTGACTTAAACTTCAATAGCCACATTGGATCGGTAACATCAGCAGCTTTTTATCATCTGAAAAATATTGCCAAAATTAAAAATATTGTGTCCAGGGCAGACTTGGAGATTCTTATCCATTCTTTTGTTTCCAGTAGGCTGGATTACTGCAATGGCCTGCTCACAGGTATCTCCAAACATGCAGTAAGACAGTTGCAGTATATTCAAAATGCTGCAGCCCGAGTCCTGACTAGAACCAGGAAGTACGACCACATTAGTCCGGTCCTCAGGTCTCTGCACTGGCTTCCCGTGGCCCAGAGGATAGACTTTAAAGCAGCTCTCCTGGTGTACAAGTCTCTCCATGGCCTTGCACCAAAGTACATCCATGATATGCTAGTCCCATATGAACCAGCCCGGACTCTGAGGAGCGCAGGGACGGGACTCCTGTTAGTGCCCAGAGTCAGGACTAGACAGGGGGAGGCTGCTTTTCAGATTTATGCAGCTGGAGTCTGGAACGGTCTTCCTGAGGATGTGAGACTGGCTGCCTCTCTGTCAATGTTCAAATCCATGTTAAAGACTTTTCTTTTTTCCCGTGCATACAACTAGAGAATTTTATCTTTTTAACACACCTTATTATTGTTGTTTATATTATTGTTTATATTATTTATTTATTGTTGTAACTTTTTGTGTTTTTAACTATTTTATTGTTTTTAATTACTTGTGTGATTTTTATGTTTTTAAATTACTTATGTGATTTTAATGCTTTTTAATTACATATGTGTTTTTAATTGTATTTTAATGGTGATGATTTGTGCATTGTGTGGTGTGGACTGTGAGGCGCTTTGTGTTGCCCTGTGCAGGAAAAGCGCCCTATAAATAAAGATTGATTGATTGATTGATTGATGTTTTTCAATATATATATTCTGAGAGCTGAGTGAGCACTGGTCTTCCCTCTCACTGTAAAATCTCTGATCTAAAGAGGCTCAAATTACAAGTGTGTGAAAACTAGTGATAGAACTAATCTGTTTTGAGAGATAGTTGCATTGATTATGTTGAATTGTAACTATTTTGTGGTTTTAGAATTTGATAGTTAGTGCTTTAATAGATCTAAATAAGGTTATATCATCACAATCCTGTCTCCAGACTGGACCAGCCCCCTACTCTGCCCGGGGTCCGTCAGGGGGAGGCTCCACCACCTTTGCCCCTGCCGAGCTGCAGGAGCCTGGGCCGGAGCAGGAGCAGTGGACCCTGGGATCCATAGACAATCGCCTGGAGCTCGCCCTGAGCCCACCCCCCTCTGAGGGTCCCTCCAGCCATGGGCCCCTCAGCAACAGCCTGGTCCAGATCACAGATGGACCCAGCAGGTAGCCTCATTAACATTCATATGCCACACAAAGGTCAGCAGACTGATTTTAACTATATGTTTGTAAATGTTTCTCTTGTTAGTTTTGAGGTTATACACCAGAAAGTGGTAGAATCTCCACAAGAGACGGAGAAACAGCAGATAATGGAAAAATCAACAGAAGTGGAGAATCTCGGCTGTGCGTCTTCTACACAAGGCATTTTTTCCAGTCAAAGTCAACAGGTAAGAAACTAAAAGCAATGTAAATGTTCTATGTATTAGTTTGTGGAATGTTTTAAAGAGACTGTACGTAATTTTCACTCTTAATTATCGTTCTAAGTAGCGTCTTTTTGAAGATTTTTTGTCAGAATTCTAGATACATTACTATAAGCCTAGCCTATTCTGGACAGTAAAGTAAACAGTGAAGAGAAATGACAGAAAATAATTGTTATTCACTGTGAAACAATGTATCTGTTGGTGTACTTTCCGACATTGTTGCCAAAGCAAATCCTCCCATAAACCCAGATCTGTGTGGATAGTTTCTGCAACCCCTGATCCTATTTTTTGATGTGTACTGGAGCCTAAAACTTTATTTCTGACTTGGGAAATGGGAATCTAACCTTATACAGTATCTTATGTATAATGAGTGTGTATACCAGGACCTCTAACCCTATTTTTTGATGTAAACTGGGGACTTTACCTCTCTTGTTGATACATACTGTTCTCTCTAACCATCTAACCACGCAGCAGACAATCAGGTGTGGTTTGAATGTGTTGAATTGCGTTGTTTCTGGTTGTGTGTGAGTGATTTGTGTCTGCCGGCAGGTGAGGCAGAGGAGTGAGCATGTGGAGAGGATGGCCAGTCAGGTGGACGAGCTGAGGTCTGGACTGGAGAGAGTCAAGGAGCTTCTGAAGGAGAAGAACCCAGGAGTGGAGGAGGCTCAGAGCGCTCTCAAGGTGCAGCATTCCTCTCTACACTTGTGTTTACCTTGACATGTTGATGGTATACGTCACTATCTTAGACCATCTGGTATAGAACCTTCCTAAATACAATACAATTTTACAATACAATACAATACAATTTATTCTTGTATAGCCCTAGGTCACAACAGAAGTCATCTCAGAGGACTTAACAAAACCATTGAAATCACCAACACAGGTCAGAGAATCAACAGTTAAAACACATGGAGAATATAAAGCACACACAGAAGAAAATGTCCATACATGTTGTAGAATGCTAAAGTGTCCTGATCATCACCAATCCTTTCTGTTGGACACTAACTGTCCAACAAGACCCTCCTGCATCGACAAGGAAAAACTCTTAAAAAACCCAGTGGGAAAAAGTGAGAAACCTTGGGGAGAACTAGGGAAACCCACAGGGAGGGAGACCCATATGAGAAAGGGATCCGCTCCTCCGGACGGACAGACTAATGATCCAGGACCTAAGCTAGCTACAGAACGTGGACCAGTGGACGCTGAACGTGGACAGGTCCGGTGCAGGACTGAAGCACTCCCAGGCGGGTCGGGCGGGGCAGTCCGCAGGTGTAGATGGAAGAGGCCAGGCTCAGAGATCCCGTCATCGTACCATGAAACAGACAATGGGACAACGGGTGAATAGCAATGAACAAACTACAGTCAGAATCCTAAAAATGCTAAACAGATAAAGTAGGAAGGAGGAGAGGATAGTGCTCAAGTTACCATACTTCTCCCAGCAAACTGACTCCCTATGCAGCTTGACTAACACTCTGAGGAGTTTAACCTTCTCCGAGTCTTACCTTCCTAGCCATATGCTAAACTAAAGAGGACTGTTTTAAACCTAGCCTTGAATAAAGAATAACATACAGCATAATATATAACATAATATACAACATAACACAATACATTATTGAATAATATATAACATAATATATAACATAATACAGCATATATATATAATATATACACTACATATTATATATTACCTAATTATATGCTAAATTAAAGTAAAGTGCTTTAAGCCTGGCCTTGAATGTGGAGACCGTATCTGCTTCCTTAACATAAATGGGAAGCTGATTCCACAGTAAAGGAGCTTGGTAGCTAAATGCTCTGCCACCAACAGTGACCTTTGAGACCTTAGGGACCACCAGACGTCTGGCGTTTTGTGAGCGCAACGCTCGACCTGGTTGATACGACACTAACGTGTCTTGGAGATAAGAGGGAGCCAAGCCATTTATGGCTTTATATGTTAAGAGAAGGATTTTAAACTTTATTCTGTACTCCACAGGGAGCCAGTGGAGTGATTTTAACACCGGAGTTATGTGCTCCCTCCTTTTGGTACCTGTTAAGATCCTAGCTGCTGTATTCTGAACGAGCTGGAAGCTCTTCAAAGAGGCTTTAGGGCACGCTGCCAGTAAAGCGTTACAGTAGTCGAGCCTTGAGGTGACAAACGCGTGAATGAGTTTTTCCGCGTCACTTTTAGGAAGGAAATTCCTAATTTTAGCGATGTTCCATAAGTGGAAGTACGCCGTTTTAGTTGCTTGGCTTATATAAGCCTTGAAGGAGAGTTCTTGGTCAAAAATGACTCCAAGATTCCTCACAGTGTTACTGGGTATTATACTGACATTATCGAGAGTAACCATCTGGTTAGTGAGGGAGTCACGCAGGCGCTTCGGACCGAGTAGGATCACTTCTGTCTTCTCCGGGTTGAGAAGTAGGAAGTTAAGAGTCATCCACATTTTAAGGTCCTGCACTGAGCTTTTCTAGCTGATCTGTCTGATTTGGCTTCATCGACAGATAAAGCTGTGTGTCATCTGCATAGCAGTGGAAATTAATTCCATGCTTTTTAATAATGTTTCTATATATTAAATATATATAATATATATATTAAGGATATATATATCCTAAACTATGAAATGTCTTCCTCTGCAGGGTGTGTGGGACGAGCTGGACCTGTGGCACAGCCATCTGATCCTGCTGGAGGCTGAGGCCCAGGATCTGGCCGAGGACCTGCCGGACCAGGCCCACCTCCTCATGGACCAGCTGAGCGAGCCGCTGCAGTGGTACCAGGACACGGCTCACATGGTGGAGCAGCACACCGCCTTCCTCAGCAAAGTCAGGATATGCTCCATTCAGACTATATCTATCTACCTCCCTCCCTCCCTCCCTCCCTCCAGAATGTGTCTGTAATTACTATAGATTCAATAGCCCTAAATCACAACAGCAGTCATCTCAGGGGACTTTACTTGCGGGTCCAGAGACTTGGACTAGACATGGACTTGCGGGTCCAGAGCAGAGACTTGGACTAGACTTGGACTTGCGAGACTTGGACTAGACTTTACTTGCGGTTGCAGAGACCTAGACTAGACTTTACTTGCGGGTCCATAGACTTGGGCTAGACTTGGACTTGTGGGTCCAGAGACTTGGACTTCCGGGTGCAGAGACTTGGACTAGACTTGGACTTTCGGGTCCGAAGACTTGGAGTAGACTTGGACTTCCGGGTCCGAAGACTTGGGCTAGACTTGGACTTGCGGGTCCGAAGACTTAGACAGGCCTTGGACTCTCTCCTGGTTTCTTGCTTTGCCTCACTCTCTTTCATATTTGTAACATAGAGTTCAAAAACACTGTTCACATTGTCCACATATAAATACTGTACGTGTAGGGTCATGTTTTCATTTTTTTTTCATTTCGTTTATTTGAGCTATTTGTGTAAAAAGACATAAAAAACAATGAACAAACAGGAATAATTTGCGCTGTATGCAATGATAAAGCAAGGCACACAGAAAAGCTCAAAAGGAGTAAGCTGAAGTATAAAACTTGTTAATGCTTACCCCTTTCTCATATTCTTTTTCTTGACAACAATTGCGTTGTTACAGACAGTGGTAAAGTTAATTTAAATGCATACATCATAGAACACGAGTTGCGTGTACAATAAGAAAACAAACAAAGTGTACACAAAAGAGAACGAAGCAGATCTAGCAAAGGAGAGAGAAGAAAAAAATATATATATATTTATATATATATATATATATATATATATATACACAAAATACCAAAAAGACAAATATAATTCAGAGTCAAAGAATAGTTTTTTGTAGTATAGATTTACACTTCATTTTCTATAGCATAGTTACTAAATACCTTTTATATGTTGTTAACGTACTGTTTCCATGGCGATCAGATCCCCGCTTGTCTGCGTAAGTTCGAGGACATCCTGTACAGAGCCACCTGCTGGTCGGAGGAGGCGGAGTCGTGGCTCAGTGCGACGGCTTCTTTCACAACAGCCAAGAGTCTCCAGAGCCACGCAAACTCCCTGCAGGTCTGTCGCTGCTCTTGTCGCTGCTCTTGTCGCTGCTCTTTTCTCTGCTCTGCGGTGTGTTGATTTGTGTTGTGGTGCGGAGGAACACACGGGAGCATCCTGAAGAAGGCCGAGCTAGGCTGAAGCGTGTTAGTGCGTATTTTAAATTACAGCCATCAGATAACAAACGCTTTTTAAACTCCATCCATCCATCCATTTTCTACCCTTTAATCCATTTCTGGGTCAGGGGGGTGGCAATCAGAGATGCCACCCAAGTCTCATAGCACCAGCCCCTCACTGACCCTCTGCAGGTGGTGAGTCCACAGGAGGACGGCTGCTCTCTGAGTGTGAGCATAGCCTTGATCTTTCAGTGGGGGCTTTTTAAACTCTCTAAACGATTAACCACGAGTGCCTTGGATTCTTTTTGAGTTTCTAATATCTTCATAATTTGCCTTTTCCTATAATGTCTCCTCCTTGTGAGATAAATAAAGAATATCTTATCTTAGAACATAAATGCAAATACACTGTAAAGTTTTGAGAGCGGACATTAAAATGGACTTGTCTGCTCTCTCACCTGTATTCTAGTAAATAAAGCTACTCATATTAGATAAATGTGTGAAGAGAATAAAAACAGGTGCATAAACTACACTGCAAAAAATTACAAACTATGATGTGATAATTGCTTGAATTTATTTATTTATTTATTTTTTACATTTATCTGAGCACATCCTGACAATTCTGCCAATGCGACAAAGGTCTTATTTCAAGAACTGCTTTATTTTCTCATTTCAAGGAAGAAATGTCTTTATCTTTTTAAAACAAGATCATTTTGCTCATTGTCCCGTTGCCAAATCTTGTTTTAAGGCTCAGTCAGAATGTCTCAAAATAAGATACATTTAGCCAATTTTTCATTACTTTGTACATCATTTTCACAGCAATTTTTTATATTTCATACCAAGGCAAAATACGGTATATATATATGTCAGCTACGTTAGGAGTGGACGGACTGAGTGTGACATCACCATAGTGTTAGCCTTAAGCAAACTAGAGACCATTTCCTTATATAAGCATTTCTTCTGCGGCGTACAGAGGCAGATGTGTTGCTAAGACGGTTGCTAAGGCAAGCTCGAGTTTCCCGCACAAATGAATCTGATTGGCATCTGGTTCGTCGATCCGTATATGGCTCATATCTGGATTTACAAAGACTGCATCACAATAAAACACCAGAATCATAGAGAGCGATAAACCACAGATTTTTAAAGCCCAAAATGGTGAGGCTAGCCGTTTAGCTACAGTACATACAGTGTTTGGTTGCCAGTAGCTTGCTATAACCTTCAGATAACCAAAACATCACATTAAATGCCTAGTTTTGCGACTTCCTGTGACTTAAAAATTACCTTAAATATAATTGTGATTCTGATGCTTCTCTTCCAGCTGCTGTTGGAGGACTCGGAGCGGATCAGACGGGTTCTTCAGGAGTACAGACCCGTCCTGTGTGACGTGTGTGCAGTGTGTGACATCACCATCCACGAGCAGAGACTGAACACCACAGACCAACATGTGCTGAGTATGCAGCAAGACATCCTGCAGCCACTAGGGGCGCTGCTGCAGGCAAAAACAGTAAGGAACCTCACTGTCTTTGTACTCCTGTTATACACCTAGGAATAATTGGAATGATTTTCTTTCAGGTGGTAGAGGATTTGGAGACTGAACTGAAGACCATAGAGAGAAACGTATCCAAAATGGAGGCAATATTATCCTCAGAGAACGATGGGGATATGTCCAATACAGAACGTCTTCACAACAGACAGGTAATAAACTAAAGGCTGTAGTTAGTTATTTTAGTTATTTAGTTATTTATTTGAAAGGACAACGGATAGGTACATTAAAAAGATGGCTGCCCCAGATTTAGCACAATGCTAATTTCCATCTGTAGTCCTGGTACAATCAAAAATACATAGCAGAGTTAATTAAAATACAAAACATAGACAATAAACATGCAATATATAGTAAAAGTGCCGATGAAAAGTGCCAGTTGCATTCATAAAGTGCAGAATGACAAAGTGCAACAGTTTTCATAATTATTTTGTAGCTATACATAATTAGCACATAGATACAATAGTTTTTAACACTAATAATGTGGTGATGTGGTGGCCATCAGACGATACCCGCGAGGGTATCACCTGATGGCCAAGTACCCATCTGGTACTTTTAGTGCGAGCAGGACTGTTGATCTAAAAGCCACAGCTTTTAGATCCAGGACTGAGGCTGTAGACCCAGGACTGAGGCTGTAGACCCAGGACTGAGGCTGTAGATCCAGGACTGAGGCTGTAGATCCAGGACTGAGGCTGTAGATCCAGGACTTAGACTGTAGATCGAGGACATCTCTTCATTTTTCCTCTTTTATTTCCAGGTGGTCTTGTCTAAAGCGCAGTCAGCAGAGCAGGTGCTGGAGGACATGCAGAGGGTTCAGGAGGAGCTGGATCTTCCCTCTGACTCCAAAGACAAACTATTGGTCTTTTGCAAAGCCTCATCGCTGCTACAGAAAATCCACAAGCTGCAGATCCAGGCCACCGCTCTGCAGGTAGGACAAAATCAGAATAATTTTTATTGCCATGTAAGTAACAGGAAGTCACAGCCAAAGAACGTGCTTTGATAAATAAAAATATATCTGATCAGTTTCTGTTTCTGTCATTGACTGAATTGACTTGTGGTGTGTTGTTCAGAGTCGGACACAACAAACAGCTTGACAGAGGCTGCTTGTTAGTGTCCTACAACAAGGAGGACTCATCATGTTTGTATTTAAGAACATTGAAAAAAGGGAGATGACTCTGCACAGTTTTTGGTCTCGAGAGATTTTCATTCTCACCACACGATGTGACGTTTCGGGTCACTACCCTTCATCAGACATGAAGCAAAGCAGGCCACTAATCAATGAGGTGTAGCCGCCCCCTGACTCACTCTTGCTCTGCATTTAAGAACATGCCACACTGAGGTCTCCCATCACAGTACTAACCAGGTCTTACCCTGCTTCTGAGATCTGACAGGATCTGGAATTTACATGCCGGGGGTGCCACCTGTCAGCCTTGGACCATAAGGCTGCCATAACAGGGTCAGACGTGTTGCTAAGATTGTTGCTAATGATAATGATGGCTGAAATATGGATTTACAAATATAATATGAAAGTACAAACACCTGGATCACACACGAGCGCCTCAGTGTGACATAAACGGTTACTGAGCTGGAGGAGTTTACTTTCACATGTAAGTCAATAGAAGCCAGAGCGAGTCACTGAGCTAGCGCGTTAGCATGGTCCACCTGGGTACAGCCTGGGTCTCTGCAGGATTCTCTCATGTCAGACTCAGCTGCTGCACAGGACGCTGCTCTACTCACTGCTCACTTTCTGCTCAATATTCTGAGTCTTTTTCCATCCACCTTTAGGACCCAGAGAGCCGAGCTGCAGCGCTGCCGACAATACCGGAAGAAAAACAGGTACATACTTTTGATTTAAAGCATGTTTGGGCTTTTTTTGCACTGTTTATGCTCATGTGCTTACAGTTAGATATGTTTAAAAACCACAAGAGGCAAGAAAACGTGATTTGTTTTGAATCATTAGTTGAACATTTTTGAACAAAATAGTTTGTTTTAAAACAAACCCGAGACTGAAGCTATTGAAGAAGAAATGTTATGCCTTATTTTTGGCCTGATTTCCGCCTACTCTTTATTGTGTGTTGTGCCCATTTTTCCAAGTAGGAAGTTGGAAATGTTGAGTTTCTGAGATTGCATAAAAACTGCATGTTTTAGGCAGAAGGTCATTTGTTTGTGCCTGAAGTTCCTATCATTAGAGTGGATGGATCTAAAAACATCTCCAGGTCTATGTTTGATGAGGGAGCAGTGTTGTAAGCTCAGAAAAGTCAATTTTGCATATTAGAATCGGAATTGTATTGCCCCTGGGCGGCGGAGTGGATAGCACTTTCTCTTCTCAGCAAGAAGGTCCTCCTCACTGAGTGGAGTTTGCATGTTCTCCCTGTGTCTGGGTAGGTTTCCTTTGGGTACTCCGGTTTCCCCTTCCACTAAAAACATGTACAATAGGTCTGGCATGTGCCTCCTGTACTGGCCCCGCTCACATCTCTGTGTGGAGTGAGAGACAACTGTAAACTGCTTTGACTCTGGTCTGTGAAAGGCGCTATTAATAAAGATCACTTACTTACTTTCTAGTGTTAGGATTGAGGTTAAGGTTAGAGTTAGGGCTAGGATTAGCGCTATGGCTACGTCTAGAGCTAGGGTTATGGGGTAGGGTGAGGGTTAGGGTTAAGGTACAATAATTAGCTGTTATTTAGTGGGAGCTAATTTAAAGTGTTGATATAAAATAATATGTCTCTTTCTACACAAATATTAGAAACGGAATCTTAACAACTCAATCATGACTATGTGTTTGTTTAGGAGGTGGATGGCTTTGGACAGGACCCCAGTTTGGACAGCACTGAGTCCTGGCTGTTGTCCGTGAGGCCTTGGCTTGACACCGGTGCTTCCAAACACATGGAGAGTGATTTAGACGTTGGGGATTCACAAAAAGCTTCATGTCCAGAGCCAATATCCACGGAGGTTCCCGAGGTCTGCAATCAAACATCTGTTGTCACGGACTCTTCTGGGTCTCCGGCACAGGAAACCCACGTCCTCACCCCGTCCACGGCCAAGTCTGAGCTCGGAGACACAAGAGAGGTTCCCCTGAGACCCATAACTCCTTTCTCTGCTGTCTCTGACTTTGAGGAGGAGGAGGAGAAGGAGGAAGAGGAGGAGAAGAAGGAGGAGGAGAAGGAGGAGGAAGACCAGTGTCCATCTTCGTTGGCAGGCCCCACTGAGGATCTGGTCAGTTTAAACTTGACTTTTATACATACAGCTGAGAATATATTTGGTTTATCAATACACCGGATTGTACTGGAAACGTTGCGCAGTGTTCCCTGGTTTATGACAGGGGTGATGTGTTCTGAAAGTAACCCACAAAAAGAAAAATCCACAAAGTAGAAGCTGTTTTTTTCACAGAGACAAGAGAGAGAGAGACGAGTGAGAGACTAGAGAGAGAGAGATGAGTGAGTGACTAGAGAGAGAGAGAGAGAGACGTGTTAGAGACTAGAGAGAGAGAGATGAGTGAGAGACTAGAGAGAGAGAGATGAGTGAGAGACTAGAAACAGAGAGACGAGTGAGAGACTAGAGAGAGAGAGAGAGAGAGACGTGTTAGAGACTAGAGAGAGAGAGATGAGTGAGTGACTAGAGAGAGAGAGAGAGACGTGTGAGAGACTAGAGAGAGAGAGATGAGTGACTAGAGAGAGAGAGAGAGAGACGTGTGAGAGACTAGAGAGAGAGAGATGAGTGAGTGACTAGAGAGAGAGAGAGAGACGTGTGAGAGACTAGAGAGAGAGAGATGAGTGACTAGAGAGAGAGAGAGAGAGTGACGTGTGAGAGACTAGAGAGAGAGAGATGAGTGAGTGACTAGAGAGAGAGAGAGAGAGACGTGTTAGAGACTAGAGAGAGAGAGATGAGTGAGTGACTAGAGAGAGAGAGGTGTGAGAGACTAGAGAGATGAGTGAGTGACTAGAGAGAGAGAGAGAGACTAGAGAGAGAGAGAGAGAGAGAGAGACTAGAGAGAGAGAGAGAGACGAGTGAGAGACTAGAGAGAGAGAGACGAGTGAGAGACTAGAGAGAGAGAGACGAGTGAGAGACTAGAAACAGAGAGACGAGTGAGAGACTAGAGAGAGAGATGAGTGAGAGACTAGAGAGAGAGAGATGAGTGAGTGACTAGAGAGAGAGAGAGAGAGACGTGTTAGAGACTAGAGAGAGAGAGATGAGTGAGAGACTAGAGAGAGAGAGATGAGTGAGAGACTAGAAACAGAGAGACGAGTGAGAGACTAGAGAGAGAGAGAGAGAGACGTGTTAGAGACTAGAGAGAGAGAGAGATGAGTGAGTGACTAGAGAGAGAGAGAGAGACGTGTGAGAGACTAGAGAGAGAGAGATGAGTGAGTGACTAGAGAGAGAGAGAGAGGTGTGAGAGACTAGAGAGATGAGTGAGTGACTAGAGAGAGAGAGAGAGATGAGTGACTAGAGAGAGAGAGAGAGAGAGACTAGAGAGAGAGAGATGAGTGAGTGACTAGAGAGAGAGAGAGAGAGACGTGTTAGAGACTAGAGAGAGAGAGATGAGTGAGTGACTAGAGAGAGAGAGAGAGAGGTGTGAGAGACTAGAGAGATGAGTGAGTGTGACTAGAGAGAGAGAGAGAGAGAGAGACTAGAGAGAGAGAGAGAGAGAGAGAGACTAGAGAGAGAGAGAGAGACGAGTGAGAGACTAGAGAGAGAGAGACGAGTGAGAGACTAGAGAGAGAGAGATGAGTGAGAGACTAGAAACAGAGAGACGAGTGAGAGACTAGAGAGAGAGATGAGTGAGAGACTAGAGAGAGAGAGAGAGATGAGTGAGAGACTAGAGAGAGAGAGATGGGTGAGAGACTAGAGAGAGAGAGAGATGAGTGAGAGACTAGAAAGAGAGAGACGAGTGAGAGAGAGATGAGTGAGAGACTAGAGAGAGAGATGAGTGAGAGACTAGAGAGCGAGAGACCAGAGAGAGACCACAGAAAGAACATAGAGAGATCAGCGAGAGACAAGAGAGAGACCAGAGAGAGAGGCCAGAGAGGGAGACTAGTCAGACCAGAGAGCGAGACCAGAGCGAGAACGGAGCGAGACCAGAGAGAGACCCGAGAGAGAATCAAGGCCCATGTACACAAGGCACATGAGGAGATCACTGTAAAAAAAAAGAGCAGAAAACAATGAGACGGCGAAAGTTGGACCACAGTTTAGATTTAGTTTTAGAACCACTCTTGTCTTTCTTTAGATTCTAGTTAAAGAAATGTACATATGTTTTAGGCTCCAAACGTCGCCGATGCCACAGCCCTGCAGCAAACTCACCGGGCTGTGCTCCAGCTCACATCAGTCGTAAGTACAACATACACACGATTTAAACGACGGTTTAAACACTTCATATTCATACATGTTTTGTGTTTTCAGGTGAATCTCGCTGGTCCCTGTGAGCGCGGAGAACTGCACACGTGTTTAAAGCAGGTGTCCGTTTGTTTAGAGAATCTCGTCCAGCGTGTGTTAGCGTCTGTGCGAGAAGACACCGCGCCTAAGCTGAGGCTGCTGCAGAGTGAGGTGTGTCCGCATCACACTCAGAATGTGTTTTATTGTCATTGTGAACAGCAAGAAGGAATCAGAAGAAACAGATACATGGCATGCATTGGGAAAGGCAAGTTTAATTGTATAGCACAGTTCATACACAACTCAAAGTGCCTAACAAAACGAGATAGAAACGATCACACAAGGCATTAAAATAATTCATAATAACAATACATTAAAAACACACAATCCTATAGTTATACATGTCAGAGAAGAAGCCTGTCTCACATTATCAGGAAGACTGTTCCAGATTTTAGTAGAATACATCTGAAACGCTGCCGCTTCATGTTTAGTCCTGACTCTGGGACCAGCAGGAGGCCAGTCCCTGTGCTCTTCAGAGTCCCAGCAGGAGGCCAGTCCCTGTGCTCCTCAGAGTCCCAGCAGGAGGCCAGTCCCTGTGCTCCTCAGAGTCCCAGCAGGAGGCCAGTCCCTGTGCTCCTCAGAGTCCACAGCAGGAGGCCAGTCCCTGTGCTCTTCAGAGTCCCAGCAGGAGGCCAGTCCCTGTGCTCTTCAGAGTCCCAGCAGGAGGCCAGTCCCTGTGCTCCTCAGAGTCCCAGCAGGAGGCCAGTCCCTGTGCTCCTCAGAGTCCCAGCAGGAGGCCAGTCCCTGTGCTCCTCAGAGTCCCAGCAGGAGGCCAGTCCCTGTGCTCCTCAGAGTTGGTTCATATGGCACTATAATGTCACTTTGGTTCGAGGCCATGGAGAGACTAAAACAGAGCTGCTTATAAGACTATAACATACAAGTGCACACATGGTACACACATGGTACACACAGCAGACATGTCCCAGTGCAGTGCATGAACATAGTCTGGTCTTTCTGGTTGTGATGCAGTGTGTGAGAGGAGAGCTGCTGGTGCTGTCTGAACTGCTGCGTCGCGTCGAGACCATGGAGAATCCTGAAATCTCACAGACTGTGGCTTCTCTCCAACAAACGGTGGAAGCAGTCGGCGAGCGGCTACAGTCACCGCCGGACCTCCCTCAACAGCAGGTGACTCGATATCTACTACTTAATATCTGCAGCAGGTCCAAACCAAGGCCCGCGAGCCAATTGAGGCCCACTGTGTAGTTTCACGTGGCCCGCTTTCTTGCTTATCCATAAAAGCTTTTAAACTTCTCCACAACTTCATCCTTGACCTCTGACCTCTCTGGTGTCTCCTCTATCCTTAACCTCTGACCTCTCTGGTGTCTCCTCTATCCTTGACCTCTGACCTCTCTGGTGTCTCCGCTATCCTCGACCTCTGACCTCTCTGGTGTCTCCGCTATCCTTGACCTCTGACCTCTCTGGTGTCTCCTCTATCCTCGACCTCTGACCTCTCTGGTGTCTCCGCTATCCTTGACCTCTGACCTCTCTGGTGTCTCCTCTATCCTTGACCTCTGACCTCTCTGGTGTCTCCTCTATCCTCGACCTCTGACCTCTCTGGTATCTCCTCTATCCTTGACCTCTGACCTCTCTGGTGTCTCCTCTATCCTCGACTTCTGACCTCTCTGGTGTCTCCGCTATCCTCGACCTCTGACCTCTCTGGTGTCTCCTCTATCCTTGACCTCTGACCTCTCTGGTGTCTCCGCTATCCTTGACCTCTGACCTCTCTGGTGTCTCCTCTATCCTCGACCTCTGACCTCTCTGGTGTCTCCGCTATCCTCGACCTCTGACCTCTCTGGTGTCTCCTCTATCCTTGACCTCTGACTTCTCTGGTGTCTCCTCTATCCTTGACCTCTGACCTCTCTGGTGTCTCCTCTATCCTTGACCTCTGACCTCTCTGGTGTCTCCTCTATCCTTGACCTATGACCTCTCTGGTATCTCCTCTATCCTCGACCTCTGACCTCTCTGGTATCTCCTCTATCCTTGACCTCTGACCTCTCTGGGGTCTCCTCTATCCTTGACCTCTGACCTCTCTGGTATCTCCTCTATCCTTGACCTCTGACCTCTCTGGTGTCTCCTCTATCCTTGACCTCTGACCTCTCTGGGGTCTCCTCTATCCTTGACCTCTGACCTCTCTGGTATCTCCTCTATCCTTGACCTCTGACCTCTCTGGTGTCTCCTCTATCCTCGACCTCTGACCTCTCAGGGGTCTCCGCTATCCTTGACCTCTGACCTCTCTGGGGTCTCCGCTATCCTTGACCTCTGACCTCTCTGGTGTCGCCGCTATCCTTGACCTCTGACCTCTCTGGTGTCTCCTCTATCCTTGACCTCTGAACTCTCTGGTGTCTCCTCTATCCTTGACCTCTGACCTCTCTGGTGTCTCCTTGTCCTTCATGATGTTGTTTACACCACTGCAGTTTCTGTATTAAACTGTTTGTATCACAACTGTTTCTTTATTTTAAACAGGTGACGTCAAAACAAGCGCTCTTTATCGATGACTTTGAGAGTGAAGTATTACAAAGTTCAGAGGAATCTCCAAATTGGATGGTAATTATGACCTGTGTTCTCTCTGACTGTGAGATCATAGATTGAGTAGAAAATATATGTGAAAACAAGTAGGACGGGTGCAAAAATACCACAATAATCCAACAAAGTACAACAGTAATACGCTCCATGAAAAATCCATCCATCCATTTTCCTCCCCTTAATCCGTTCCTGGGCTGGGGGTGGTAGTCAGACCTGCACCCAGTGAACAAAGCACCAACCCCTGCTCTGTGAACAGCCTGAACCTCCTGCAGGTGGGAGTGTGAGCTGCCTTGTTCTATCACCAGAGGCTTCAGGCAAAGTGGGGTTCGGTGTCAGCAGACATCAGTCGTGAAGTAGTATGATAATAATTACTTCATATATACTCTAGAAGTCAAACGTACATGTGGACCACAAAGCTGATTTTGTGAATTTGACTTGCTCTTTCTTTGGTTCAGTGTGTGTTGGTCAGACTCCTGGGGGAGACTCCAGGGTCCGGGGCCGAGCTGAGGCCCGAGCTGAGGCCCGAGCTGAGGCCGGCTGCCCAGTCACTGCTGCAGGGGGTGAGGGCCCTGGTGGAAGTGGGCGAAGAGAGCACCACGGAGAGGAAAAAACTCATCTTCCGCAGTCCAAGAGAACTGCAACTGCCCCTACAGAGGCTAAAGGTACCTGCCCCTACAGAGACTAAAGTTACCTGCCCCTACAGAGACTCAAGGTACCTGCCCCTACAGAGACTAAAGGTACCTGCCCCTACAGAGACTAAAGGTACCTGCCCCTACAGAGACTAAAGTTACCTGCCCCTCCGGAGACTAAAGTTACCTGCCCCTACAGAGACTGAAGGTACCTGCCCCTACAGAGACTCAAGGTACCTACCCCTACAGAGACTAAAGGTACCTGCCCCTACAGAGACTAAAGGTACCTGCCCCTACAGAGACTAAAGGTACCTGCCCCTACAGAGACTAAAGTTACCTGCCCCTACAGAGACTGAAGGTACCTGCCCCTACAGAGACCAAAGGTACCTGCCCCTACAGAGACTGAAGGTACCTGCCCCTACAGAGACTGAAGGTACCTGCCCCTACAGAGACTGAAGGTACCTGCCCCTACAGAGACTGAAGGTACCTGCCCCTACAGAGACTGAAGGTACCTGCCCCTACAGAGACTGAAGGTACCTGCCCCTACAGAGACTGAAGGTACCTGCCCCTACAGAGACTAAAGGTACCTGCCCCTACAGAGACTGAAGGTACCTGCCCCTACAGAGACTCAAGGTACCTGCCCCTACAGAGACTCAAGGTACCTGCCCCTACAGACACTCAAGGTACCTGCCCCTACAGACACTCAAGGTACCTGCCCCTACAGAGACTAAAGGTACCTGCCCCTACAGAGACTCAAGGTACCTGCCCCTACAGAGACTCAAAGTACCTGCCCCTACAGACACTCAAGGTACCTGCCCCTACAGAGACTGAAGGTACCTGCCCCTACAGAGACTAAAGGTACCTGCCCCTACAGAGACTGAAGGTACCTGCCCCTACAGACACTCAAGGTACCTGCCCCTACAGAGACTCAAGGTACCTGCCCCTACAGACAACTCAAGGTACCTGCCCCTACAGACACACTCAAGGTACCTGCCCCTACAGAGACTCAAGGTACCTGCCCCTACAGAGACTAAAGGTACCTGCCCCTACAAGGTACCTGCCCTACGAGACAAGGTACCTGCCCCTACAGACACTCAGGTACCTGCCACAGAGACTCAAGGTACCTGCCCCTACAGAGACTAAAGGTACCTGCCCCTACAGACACTCAAGGTACCTGCCCCTACAGAGACTCAAGGTACCTGCCCCTACAGACACTCAAGGTACCTGCCCCTACAGAGACTCAAGGTACCTGCCCCTACAGAGACTAAAGTTACCTGCCCCTACAGAGACTCAAGGTACCTGCCCCTACAGAGACTAAAGGTACCTGCCCCTACAGAAGATTTTCAATAATATCCTCTCTCTTTCCTCTCCTCTCTAACCGCCCATCTATCCTCTCTCCTCAACTCTCCCAATGAGAAAGAGAGGCGAGAGGAAGGAGAGGAGTGGAGAGAGATGAAGGGAGAGGAGAGAGAGATGAAGGGAGAGGAGAGGAGAGAGAGATGAAGGGAGAGGAGAGAGAAGCGAGGAGGGTAGAGAAGAGAGGACAAACTAGACTTTTACTTTTCCTTACTTTCTAGTTCATTCCACACCTTTTCCCCTTTTATCCATTGCTCTACATCTGGTGTTGTGTTGTTTCAGAAGCTGCAGGAGGTCCTGTCGTCACAGCTGGCTTTTGCTCACCTCCTTTTCCAGCGAGGAGACCGGAAGTGTGAGGAGGAGGAGTGGGCACAGCTGCAGCTCAGGGCCTCAGCTCTCCAGACACAGGCGCTGGAGCAACAAGCCACTCTCCAATGGAATCTGCAGGTTTGAGACGACTGTGTGTTCATGTGTGCGTGTGTGTGTGTGTACAGCAGTTAAAGGCCAGCAGAGTGTGTTCATGTGTGTGTGTGTGTGTCTCTGTACAGCAGCTAAAGGCCAGCAGAGTGTGTTCATGTGTGTGTGTGTGTGTGTGTGTGTGTGTGTGTGTGTGTGTTCGGCAGTTAAAGGCCAGCAGAGTGTGTTCATGTGTGTGTGTGTGTGTGTGTGTGTGTGTGTGTGTTCGGCAGTTAAAGGCCAGCAGAGTGTGTTCATGTATGTGTGTGTGTGTGACTCTGTGCAGAAGCTAATGGCCAGCAGAGTGTGTTCATGTGTGTGTGTATGTGTGTCTGTGCGGCAGTTAAAGGCCAGCAGAGTGTGTTCATGTGTATGTGTGTGTGTTTGTGTGTCTGTGCGGCAGCTAAAGGCCAGCAGAGTGTGTTTGTGTGTGTGTGTGTGTGTGTGTGTGTGTGTGTGTGTGTGTCTGTGCGGTAGCTAAAGGCCAGCAGAGTGTGTTCGTGTGTGTGTTCATGTGTGTGTGTGTGTGTGTGCAGCAGCTAAAGGCCAGCAGAGTGTGTTCATGTGTGTGTGTGTGTGTGTGTCTGTGCGGCAGTTAAAGGCCAGCAGAGTGTGTTCATGTGTATGTGTGTGTGTGTGTGTGTCTGTGCGGCAGCTAAAGGCCAGCAGAGTGTGTTTGTGTGTGTGTGTGTGTCTGTGCGGTAGCTAAAGGCCAGCAGAGTGTGTTCGTGCGTGTGTTCATGTGTGTGTGCGTGTGTGTGCAGCAGCTAAAGGCCAGCAGAGTGTGTTCATGTGTGTGTGTGTGTGCGGCAGCTAGAAGCCAGCAGAGTGTGTTCGTGTGTGTGTGTGTGTGTGTCTGTGCAGCAGCTAAAGGCCAGCAGAGTGTGTTCATGTGTGTGTGTGTGTGTGCGGCAGCTAGAAGCCAGCAGAGTGTGTTCATGTGTATGTGTGTGTGTGCGGCAGCTAGAAGCCAGCAGAGTGTGTTCATGTGTGTGTGTGTGTCTGTGCAGCAGCTAAAGGCCAGCAGAGTGTGTTCGTGTGTGTGTGTGTGTGTGTGTGTGTGTGTGTGTGTGTGTGTATGTGTGTGTGTCTGTGCGGCAGCTAAAGGCCAGCAGATTGTGTTCGTGTGTGTGTGTTCATGTGTGTGTGTGTGTGTGTGTGTCGCAGGAGTGGACTCAGTGGGAGGAGGAACGTGAGCGTCTGAGAAAGCTCCTGGACGAGAGCGAGGCTGTTCGGACCAGGGGAGAGAAGGAGAGAGGAGGTGCAGAGGAGGTGGAAGACAGGATTCAAGAGTGCGAGGTAGAAACATGTGTCTTTGAAAGGATTTCTACAGCAATGTTTTTGTTCTCTTCTGGGTCCCCTCACTCTTCTCCTCTCTCCTCTTCTCTCCTCTCTCCTCTTTCCTTTCCCCTCTCTCTCCTCTCGTCTCTCCTCACCTCTCCTCTTTCCTTTCCTCTCCTCTCCTTTCCTCTCTCCTCTTTCCTTTCCCCTCTCTCTCCTCTCCTCTTTCCTTTCGTCTCTCCTCTTTCCTTTCCCCTCTCTCTCCTCTCCTCTCTCCTCTCCTCTCCTTTCCTCTCCTCTCCTATCTTTCCTTTCCCCTCTATCCTCTCCTCTCTCCTCTCATCTCCTCTTTCCTTTCCTCTCCTCTCCTTTCCTCTCTCCTCTTTCCTTTCCCCTCTCTCCTCTCCTCTTTCCTTTCGTCTCTCCTCTTTCCTTTCCCCTCTCTCCTCTCCTCTCTCCTCTCCTCTCCTTTCCTCTCCTCTCCTTTCCTCTCTCCTCTTTCCTTTCCCCTCTCTCTCCTCTCCTCTCTCCTCACCTCTTCTCTCCTCTTTCTCTTCCTCTCTCTCCTCTCTCCTCCCCTCTCCCCTCTCCTTTACCTACACTTCATTCCCTCTTGTTTTCCAGACCATTCTACATAACCTTGACCAGAACAACCCCTCTCTGGGTCGTCTACTGGACCGTGGGGCTCAGCTGCTGCCCTCCTCAGTCCCACAGACAGGGGGCGCTCTGGAGCTTCGCTGGCGGGACTTCCACAGACAGACAGAGGCAGAGATCAGAGGCTGCAGAGACGTGACGCAGGACTGGGCCAGGTGGGACAGGCTCCGGAATGTCTTAGAAAAACCCCGACGGCTGATTTACAGTCACTTCTGGCAGGAAACTTTTTGATGAATGACAAAGAAACCGTAGAAAGCGTCGGATAATGACTCCAGCTATTGTTGTCACGGCAATTATGAACGCTCGAATATCTTTGGCGTGTTTGATGAGTTTGCATAATCTCTCCAGGCGCAAACTACATATTTTAGCATTTTACAATAATACTGGTTTATAAAGCCCCGTTTCCACCAGCCGTACTCGGTCCTAGTCTACTCTACTCGGTTCTACTCGTTTTCACTCTTCTCTTTTCTTTCCTCTCCTCTGCTCTCTTCTCTCTTTGGTCTCTCTCTGGTCCCTCTCTGGTCTCTCTCTGGTCTCTCTCTGGTCTCTCTCTGGCCTCTCTCTGGCCTCTCTCTGGTCTCTCTTTGGTCTCTCTGGTCTTTCTCTGGTCTTTCTCTGGTCTCTCTCTGGTCTCTCTCTGGTCCCTCTCTGGTCTCTCTCTGGTCTCTCTCTGGTCTCTCTCTGGTCTCTCTCTGGCCTCTCTCTGGCCTCTCTCTGGTCTCTCTTTGGTCTCTCTGGTCTTTCTCTGGTCTTTCTCTGGTCTCTCTCTGGTCTCTCTCTGGTCCCTCTCTGGTCTCTCTCTGGTCTCTCTCTGGTCTCTCTCTGGTCTCTCTCTGGCCTCTCTCTGGCCTCTCTCTGGTCTCTCTTTGGTCTCTCTGGTCTTTCTCTGGTCTTTCTCTGGTCTCTCTCTGGTCTCTCTCTGGTCTCTCTCTGGTCTCTCTTTGGTCTCTCTGGTCTTTCTCTGGTCTTTCTCTGGTCTCTCTCTGGTCTCTCTCTGGTCTCTCTCTGGTCTCTCTCTGGTCTCTCTTTGGTCTCTCTGGTCTTTCTCTGGTCTCTCTCTGGTCTCTCTCTGGTCTCTCTTTGGTCTCTGTGGTCTCTCTCTGGTCTCTCTCTGGTCTCTCTCTGGTCCCTCTCTGGTCTCTCTCTGGTCTCTCTCTGGTCTCTCTCTGGCCTCTCTCTGGTCTCTCTTTGGTCTCTCTGGTCTTTCTCTGGTCTTTCTCTGGTCTTTCTCTGGTCTCTCTCTGGTCTCTCTCTGGTCTCTCTCTGGTCTCTCTTTGGTCTCTCTGGTCTTTCTCAGGTCTTTCTCTGGACTGATTTTTCCACTCTCCAACCTGGATTATAAAGTGTGTTTTCAGATCCCCAAACGTTAACTTCATATGTCGGCTACAGTAAATAGTTAAAGTATTTTCTGCTTTTTTTCCTGAATTTGACTTTCTGTGGACAGGACCTAAGCTCACTCTCTCATCATCACGCAGGTTGCAGACGGAGGAGGCTGAACTTCAACAGTGGCTCCCAGGGGCCGAGGAGCGAGTGCAGAAAAGTTTGAACCAGACGGAGACCTCTGACCTCCACAACAGTCTGACCACTCTGCTGGTGAGTGAGAGAGACCCCTCTTTCTGCACTGACCAGGGGTGTCAAAACTTTCTAGTTAGAGGGCCATTTTAGTTTAGAGTAGTCCATGGGCCGACAACATGGCTTGACTGGATTCGAGATGTTCTAAGCTGTTTTTATTGGTTTCCTTTTTGACCTAGCTGAAGTTGGCTGACTGATGTTTATGTACCAGCTGTATTAGTGCCATACAATCAAAAATAAGTTATTGACAGACAAAAGTCGTCTTAGGTTGGGTGGGATGGGGTCAGGTAGGGTGGGGCTGGGTTCATGGAAACAGAGCTGAAGTCAACGACTGCTTAACATTGAGCAAAGATGAAGTTGGCTGGATGATTTTTCTGCATTTTTCTTGAAGGACTTATCTGTTGAGGTGGGCTCCATTTCGTTGCTGGAGGCTGTCTGCTCAAAGACCAAAGACAGCGGACCTCAGACCCTCAGCGGACCTCAGACCCTCAGCGGACCTCAGACCCTCAGCGGACCTCAGACCCTCAGCGGACCTCAGACCCTCAGGGGACTCAGGTCTCGGTTCACCCAGGTCTCCTCTGCCCTCTCCCACAGACGGCAGCAGCTGCAGCAGGTTCAGATGTTTACGACCTGTTACATTAGTGCACAACTGTTTAAACTTTACAGTAAAGACAGACAAAAGTCCAGTTTCGACCAGGCCTGCTCTGCTCTACTCTGCTTTACTCTACTCTATTCTACTCTGAGAGAGAGAGTCCAGAGAGCGAGAGAGAGTCCAGAGAGAGAGGCAGAGTCCAGAGAGAGAGAGAGACAGAGTCCAGAGAGAGAGAGAGAGTCCAGAGAGAGAGAGTCCAGAGAGAGAGAGACAGAGTCCAGAGAGAGAGAGACAGAGTCCAGAGAGAGAGAGACAGAGTCCAGAGAGAGAGAGAGAGAGAGAGTCCAGAGAAATCCCACCAAATATTTGAAAGAATAATGGCTCAATGCTCATCCAAATGTCTTGCTTGTTTTAACGAACAGACCTGGCTTCTCTATCGTTCTCCGATGCTTCTCTCTCTCTCTCCGATGCTTCTCTATCGTTCTCCGATGCTTTTCTCTCTCTCTCCGATGCTTCTCTCTCTCTCCGATGGTTCTCTCTCTCTCTCCAATGCTTCTCTCTCTCTCTCCAATGCTTCTCTCTCTCTCTCCAATGCTTCTCTCTCTCTCCGATGCTTCTCTCTCTCTCTCCAATGCTTCTCTATCGTTCTCCAATGCTTCTCTATCGTTCTACGATGCTTTTCTCTCTCTCTCCGATGCTTCTCTCTCTCTCTCCGATGGTTCTCTCTCTCTCTCCAATGCTTTTCTCTCTCTCTCCGATGCTTCTCTCTCTCTCTCCGATGCTTCTCTCTCTCTCTCCGATGCTTCTCTCTCTCTCCGATGCTTCTCTCTCTCTCCGATGCTTCTCTGTCTCTCTCCGATGCTTCTCTCTTTCTCTGATGCTTCTCTCTTTCTCTGATGCTTCTCTCTCTCTCCGATGCTTCTCTCTCTCTCTCCAATGCTTCTCTATCGTTCTACGATGCTTCTCTCTCTCTCCGATGCTTCTCTCTCTCTCCAATGCTTCTCTCTCTCTCTCCGATGCTTCTCTCTCTCCAATGCTTCTCTCTCTCTCTCCAATGCTTCTCTCTCTCTCTCCGATGCTTTTCTCTCTCTCTCCGATGCTTCTCTCTCTCTCCGATGCTTCTCTCTCTCTCTCCGATGCTTCTCTCTCTCTCCAATGCTTCTCTCTCTCTCGCCGATGCTTCTCTCTCTCTCCGATGCTTCTCTCTCTCTCCGATGCTTCTCTCTCTCCAATGCTTCTCTCTCTCTCTCTCCAATGCTTCTCTCTCTCTCTCCGATGCTTCTCTATTGTTCTCCGATGCTTCTCTCTCTCTCTCCGATGCTTCTCTCTCTCTCTCTCCGATGCTTCTCTCTCTCTCCGATGCTTCTCTCTCTCTCCGATGCTTCTCTATCGTTCTCCAATGCTTCTCTCTCTCTCTCCGATGCTTCTCTCTCTCTCCGATGCTTCTCTCTCTCCAATGCTTCTCTCTCTCCGATGCTTCTCTCGCTCTCTCCGATGCTTCTCTCTCTCTCTCCGATGCTTCTCTGTCTTTCTCCGATGCTTCTCTCTCTCTCTCCGATGCTTCTCTCTCTCTCTCCGATGCTTCTCTGTCTCTCCGATGCTTCTCTGTCTCTCTCCGATGCTTCTCTCTCTCCGATGCTTCTCTCGCTCTCTCCGATGCTTCTCTCTCTCTCTCCGATGCTTCTCTGTCTTTCTCCGATGCTTCTCTCTCTCTCTCCGATGCTTCTCTGTCTCTCCGATGCTTCTCTGTCTCTCTCCGATGCTTCTCTCTCTCTCTCCGATGCTTCTCTGTCTTTCTCCGATGCTTCTCTCTCTCTCTCCGATGCTTCTCTGTCTCTCTCCGATGCTTCTCTCTCTCTCCGATGCTTTTCTCTCTCTCCGATGCTTCTCTCTCTCTCCGATGCTTCTCTCTCTCTCTCCGATGCTTCTCTCTCTCTCTCCGATGCTTCTCTCTCTCTCTCCAATGCTTCTCTCTCTCTCTCCGATGCTTTTCTCTCTCTCCGATGCTTCTCTCTCTCTCCGATGCTTCTCTCTCTCTCTCCGATGCTTCTCTCTCTCTCTCCGATGCTTCTCTCTCTCTCTCCAATGCTTCTCTCTCTCTCTCCGATGCTTCTCTCTCTCTCTCCGATGCTTCTCTCTCTCCAATGCTTCTCTCTCTCTCTCTCCGATGCTTCTCTCTCTCTCCAATGCTTCTCTCTTTCTCTCCAATGCTTCTCTCTCTCTCTCCAATGCTTCTCTCTCTCTCTCCGATGCTTCTCTATCGTTCTCCGATGCTTCTCTCACTCTCTCCGATGCTTCTCTCTTTCTCCGATGCTTCTCTCTCTCTCTCTCCAATGCTTCTCTCTCTCTCTCCGATGCTTCTCTTTCTCTCTCCGATGCTTCTCTCTCTCTCTCCGATGCTTCTCTCTCTCTCTCCAATGCTTCTCTCTCTCTCTGATGCTTCTCTCTTTCTCCGATGCTTCTCTCTCTCTCTCCGATGCTTCTCTCTCTCTCTCTCCAATGCTTCTCTCTCTCTCTCTGATGCTTCTCTCTTTCTCCGATGCTTCTCTCTCTCTCTCCGATGCTTCTCTCTCTCTCCAATGCTTCTCTCTCTCTCTCCGATGCTTCTCTATCGTTCTCCGATGCTCTCTCTCTCTCTCCGATGCTTCTCTCTTTCTCCGATGCTTCTCTCTCTCTCTCCGATGCTTCTCTCTCTCTTCCGATGCTTTTTTCTCTCTCTCCGATGCTTCTCTCTCTCTCCGATGCTTCTCTCTCTCTCCGATGCTTCTCTCTTTCTCTGATGCTTCTCTGTCTTTCTCCGATGCTTCTCTCTCTCTCTCCGATGCTTCTCTCTCTCTCTCCGATGCTTCGTTCTCTCTCTCCGATGCTTCTTTCTCTCTCTCCGATGCTTCTCTCTCTCTCTCTCCAATGCTTCTCTCTCTCTCTCCGATGCTTTTCTCTCTCTCTCCGATGCTTCTCTCTCTCTCTCTCCGATGCTTCTCTCTCTCTCTCTCTCCGATGCTCTCTCTCTCTCTCTCTCCGATGCTTCTCTATCGTTCTCCGATGCTTCTCTCTCTCTCCGATGCTTCTCTCTCTCTCTCCGATGCTCTCTCTCTCTCTCCGATGCTTCTCTCTCTCTCTCCGATGCTTCTCTCTCTCTCTCCGATGCTTCTCTCTCTCTCTCCGATGCTTCTCTCTCTCTCTCCGATGCTTCTCTGTCTCTCTCCGATGCTTCTCTCTCTCTCCGATGCTTCTCTCTCTCTCTCCGATGCTTCTCTCTCTCTCTCCGATGCTTCTCTCTCTCTCTCCGATGCTTCTCTCTCTCTCTCCGATGCTTCTCTCTCTCTCTCCGATGCTTCTCTGTCTCTCTCCGATGCTTCTCTCTCTCTCCGATGCTTCTCTCTCTCTCTCCGATGCTTCTCTCTCTCTCTCCGATGCTTCTCTGTCTCTCTCCGATGCTTCTCTGTCTCTCTCCGATGCTTCTCTGTCTCTGTCCAATGCTTCTCTCTCTCTCCGATGCTTCTCTCTCTCTCTCCGATGCTTCTCTCTCTCTCTCCAATGCTTCTCTCTCTCTCTCCGATGCTTCTCTGTCTCTCTCCGATGCTTCTCTCTCTCTCCGATGCTTCTCTCTCTCTCCGATGCTTCTCTCTCTCTCCGATGCTTCTCTCTCTCTCTCCGATGCTTCTCTCTCTCTCTCCAATGCTTCTCTGTCTCTCTCCGATGCTTCTCTCTCTCTCTCCGATGCTTCTCTCTCTCTCTCCGATGCTTCTCTGTCTCTCTCCGATGCTTCTCTCTCTCTCTCCGATGCTTCTCTCTCTCTCTCCGATGCTTCTCTCTGTCTCTCCGATGCTTCTCTCTGTCTCTCCGATGCTTCTCTCTCTCTCTCCGATGCTTCTCTGTCTCTCTCCGATGCTTCTCTGTCTCTCTCCGATGCTTCTCTCTCTCTCTCCGATGCTTCTCTCTCTCTCTCCGATGCTTCTCTGTCTCTCTCCGATGCTTCTCTCTCTCTCTCCGATGCTTCTCTCTCTCTCTCCGATGCTTCTCTCTGTCTCTCCGATGCTTCTCTCTGTCTCTCCGATGCTTCTCTCTCTCTCTCCGGTGCTTCTCTGTCTCTCTCCGGTGCTTCTCTGTCTCTCTCCGACGCTTCCACAGACTGCACCAAACGACCCACATAAAAATGATGTCTCTTTATCACCACTTTGAACAAGTCAATAAATAATTCTCCAGATCTTCTCAATGGATCGCACTCAAGCCCCGGCGATCCAAGATGGCGCCCTATTCAAATGAATGGTTGTGCTCAGTGGCGCTTTGTGACAGCATGGGGGCTGAAAGATTAGCGGAAGTTGCCTGAAACTCGCAAAGATCTATGGGAAACTCGCCTGTATTTGGGCATCGTCTGGTCCTCCCGGTTCTGCGCAGTGGATGATCTCCCATAATGCGTTGCGCCAAACACACGTGTGTGGGTCTCACACCGGGTCTCACGCACGTGCACAGAGGGGCTCGGCCGCGCTCTGACCAATCAGAGCAGTTCATCAGAGCGGGAGTTAGAGCGAGAGCCAGAGGAGTAGAGCTTGTGGCACTAAAGTGTGGATTTAAACAAAACCGAAGGATTTAAGAAGAAAAAAAGTTCAGGATGACAAGGGACACTAAAATCCCCACAAAATCCGATCTTTATTAAAGCTGTAGGTTCTCTGTCAGCTGAGGTCGAGCTGTTTTAATATGCATTGAGTTCTATGGGGAAAATTTCTGGGTAGCCCACGTGAATTTAGTCTGGCTCAGTCTGCAGTACCGCGAGAATCCCCTGAGCACATGAGTTATTCAGCTACAAGCTAGTAATACCCTATCCAGTTATTATAATACATCCATGATCGCACTTAATTACTGTGTCTTTTAGATTCTGCTGAAGACATGGCCACCTGAGGACGTGCTGTCGGCCCTGGAGAGCTGGCTCCAGGAGAAAGAAAAACATTTCAGGGAGAAAGAGAGAGACCGCGCTCCTCTGAGTCACCGTCTGCAGTCGCTCAAGGTCAGCAGCTTTGTCCAGTTAAAAGGTTTAGAACGAGTATCTGTTACAAGCCACTTTTAGATTAGGCATAAACACATGCGCTGCTGGTTTAGGACGTCGGTCACGAGTTTAACGATGATGTACGGTTTGGAAGTGGGATTTAAAGTTAGGGTAGGGAAGTCCCCCATAGAGACAGGAGAGAGAGAGACCAGAGAGAGACAAGGGAGAGACAAGGGAGAGACCAGGGAGAGAATAGAAAGAGAGGTCAGAGATAGAGACCAGAAAGCGATCAGAGAGAAACCAGGGAGAGAGACCAGAGAGAGAGACAAAAGAGAGAGACCAGAGAGAGAAAGGGAGATCAGGGAGAGAGACCAGGCAGAGAGACCAGGGAGAGAGGCCAGGGAGAGAGACCAAAGAGAGAGACCAGAGAAAGATGCCAGGGAGAGAGGCCAGGAAGAAACCAGAGAGAGAGAGAGATCAGGGAGAGAGGCCAGAGAGTGCGACCAGAGAAAGAGGCCAGGGAGAGAGACCAGGAAGAAACCAGAGAGAGAGAGAGGCCAGGGGGAGAGACAGGGAGAGACAGGGAGAGAGGCCAGGGAGAGAGACCAGGCAGAAATAGGCCAAAAGGAGAATAGAGAGAGAGGCCAAAGAGAATTCGGTGCGAGGCCCTTGAGAGACTTTCCCGCAGAACACAAGTCTATTCTGTGACCTTGTGAGAATTGTCTGCTTTAGACGCTATATTTTTGATTCTGTGTTTTTTAGATGATAAAAACCGCTGATGTTACTGATTTGATTTGACTATTACGATGATTACATACTCCCTCTTTTGTGGTCTGGAAATTCGTTTTTAACTGTCATTATAATGCAGGGGTTAAAGAGTGGCCTGGACTTCGGGCAGCAGCTCCTGGACTCTCTGGACCAGTCCGGACCTCCTCTTGTGGGAGACAAGGCCATAAGTCTCCTTTCAGAACGAACAATGCTGGCAGAGAGACTGGGCGCCCTCAGACTGCTCTGGGTCAGCCTACAGGGGGAGCTAGAGACCCAGGTTTGTCACTCTGCTTTGCAACAAGAACTTTTACAGATTACTTCTGCATTATACAGAACATGCCAATAGTAGATTGAAACTGGAAGCTAGAGAGAGAGAGACCAGAAAGAGAGGCCAGAGAGAGACCAGAGAGAGGCCAGAGAGAAACTAGGGAGAGAGACCAGAGAGAAACTAGGGAGAGAGACCAGAAAGAGAGGCCAGAGAGAGACCTGAGAGAGACCTGAGAGAGACAAGAGAGAGACCATAGAGAGACAAGAGAGAGACCAGAGAGAGACCATAGAGAGACCATAGAGAGACCAGAGAGAGGCCAGAGAGAAACTAGGGAGAGAGACCAGAGAGAAACTAGGGAGAGAGGCCAGAAAGAGACCAGAGAGAAACTAGGGAGAGACCAGAGAGAAACTAGAGAGAGAGACCAGAGAGAGACCAGAGAGAGAGACCAGAGAGAGAGGCCAGAGAGAGACCAGAGAGAAACTAGGGAGAGACCAGAGAGAAACTAGAGAGAGAGACCAGAGAGAGACCAGAGAGAGAGACCAGAGAGAGAGACCAGAGAGAGAGACCAGAGAGAGAGACCAGAGAGAGAGGGACCGGAGAGAGAGACCAGAGAGAGAGACCAGAGCGAGACCAGAGAGAGAGACCAGAGAGAGAGACCAGAGCGAGACCAGAGAGAGAGACCAGAGAGAGAGGGACCGGAGAGGGACCGGAGAAAGAGGCCAGAGAGAGAGGTCAGAGAGAGGGACCAGAGAGAGAGACCAGTGAAAGAGAGGTCAGAGAGAGGCCCGAAAGGGACCAGAGAGAGACCAGAGAGAGGGAACAGAGAGAAGCCAGAAAGAGAGACTGGAGAGAGAGGGACCAGAGAGACACTTTGCAACAAGAACTTTGACACATACTCCTTCATTTTACAGAGCAGAACATGCAAATAGTAGGTTGAAACTGGAAGCTGTTATTAAATCAATGGATATTTATTTCTCGGTATGAAGACCGCAGTGGCTCGAATGGCTTTTGACGTATTATTTTCCAAACTTTTTCTCGTTTTTCTTTCTCTTTCTGGCTGGGCTTTTGTAGATTAATGGGGCCGAACACATGCATCAAACCCGGGCTCGCAAACAGAAAGCGTTGCAGCATCTTCAAAACTTTATGGACCAGAGAAAGACGAAACTGGAGCGATTTCTCCGACCTGGAGGGGATCTTTTGGCTCGGAAGCAGCAGCAGGAGTGGGAGGTAATGGTGAAGGGATGCAGGTGGTTTGCTTGTACAGTGTCTCCAGCCTGTTCTCAAATCTCTACTCTTGTTTTTTCTTTCTCTCTGCAGATTTATGTGCAGAGTTTGAAGGACAAAGCAGCAGACGTGGAGGAGTTGAGAGACACGAGTTTGACGGCAGAGAATGAGAGCAGAGACAAAGCCGGCGATGTGGTGATTTCTGAGCAGGCAGAGGCACTTTTGGAAACTTACCAGGGTTTTATTCAACAGGTGAATTTAGTGTTTTTAATCATGTTTATAGGGAAGAACCCAGATGCAGTGTGTGAAAAGAGGAGACCACAGAGGAGACTTTAATATAGGTTACAGACCAGGGGTGTAGGTTTTCATTCCAACCAAGCAGGAGCAGCAGAGAAGAGCCAAGTAGAATAGAGTTTAGAGTAGATTCGAGCAGAGCTAAGAGTAGAGGACTCAGATACTGCTATCAGACTGTACAATGAGTATATGAGGATAATGGTACTTTTTTAAATGTGTTTTCGTGTTTCCTGTCTATGTACATTTCTCATTGTGAGGTCAAAAGTCTTATCCACTCTGACATGTGGTTAGTTCAATCTGAAGAGACCAAAGACACGATTAATACAATAAAATTATTTATTTGTTTGGCGCGTTGACCCCGGCAGTGACACTTGCAGCAATGAGATCGATTGCAGCTGAAGATGATCTCAGATCCCCCGGGGTCAATCACTGGTGGTGGCTAGAGTATGGTGTGAATGGGGCGTAGGCGGAGCAGGAGCCGGAGTGGGAGCCTAGAGCGGGAGCCAGAGCGGGAGCCAAGAGCCAGAGGGGGTGCTGGGGAGGTGGTGGGTGTTTAAGAGCCTCAGGAAGCGTTGTTTGTCAGGAAGTGGCTGCCTTTTAAACTGCCCGCTTTGCTCTGAGAGGGTTGGCAGGAGGCTGGCCTGGCTGTGTGATTGGCTGAGGCTCGAGGCTGGCAGAGCTGTGTGATTGGCTGAGGCTCGAGGCTGGCAGGCACTCGGTCTTTCAGTCTGAACCTGCGCATTCAGCTTCATAAATACAGCAGTGTAGTTTTTATTGTTATTTCTCCTGGACTGAAACACTGCTTACTCTGGTTTCTTTCCCGGGTCTCACTCTGGTCTTTCTTTTGGGTCTCTTTCTCTAGGCTCTCTCTCTGGTATTTATTTCTGGTCTCTCTCTCTCTGGAATTTCTTTCTGGTCTCTCTCTCTCTCTCTCTCTCTCTCTCTGGACTTTCTTTCTTGTCTCTCTCTCTCTCAGGACTTTCTTTCTTGTCTCTCTCTCTGGACTTTCTTTCTTGTCTCTCTCTCTGGACTTTCTTTCTTGTCTCTCTCTCTCTCTCTCTCTCTCTCTCTCTCTCTCTCTGGACTTTCTTTCTGGTCTCTCGCTCTCTCTCTCTGGACTTTCTTTCTGGTCTCTCCATGGAATTTCTTTCTGGTCTCTCTCTCTCTATGGACTTTCTTTCTGGTCTCTCGCTCTCTCTCTCTGGACTTTCTTTCTGGTCTCTCCATGGAATTTCTTTCTGGTCTCTCTCTCTCTATGGACTTTCTTTCTGGTCTCTCTCTCTCTCTCTGGAATTTCTTTATGATCTCTCTCTCTCTCTCTCTCTCTCTCTGGACTTTATTTCTGGTATCTCTCTCTCTAGACCTTCTTTCTGGTCTCTCTCTCTCTGGTCTTTCTTTCTGGTCTCTCTCTCTCTCTCTCTGCAATTTCTTTATGGTCTCTCTCTCTTTCTCTCTCTCTCTGCAATTTCTTTATGGTCTCTCTCTCTCTCTCTGCAATTTCTTTCTGGTCTCTCTCTCTCTATGGACTTTCTTTCTGGTCTCTCTCTCTCTCTCTCTCTGGAATTTCTTTATGGTCTCTCTCTCTCTCTCTCTGTCTCTCTCTCTGCACTTTCTTTCTGGTCTCTCTCTCTCTTTGGACTTTCTTTCTGGTCTCTCTCTCTGGTTTTTCTTTCTGGTCTCTCTCGCTCTCTCTGGTATTTCTTTCTGGTCTCTCTCTCTCTCTCGCTCTGGTCTTTCTTTCTGGTCTCTCTCTGGACTTTCTTTCTGGTCTCTCTCTCTCTCTGGTCTTTCTTTCTGGTCTCTCTCTGGTCTCTCTCTGGTTTTTGGTCTATTTTTCTGGTCTCTCTCTCTCTCTGCTCTCTCTATGATTTATGATGTGATTTTAAAACCCATTGAGTTTGTATTGTATTTTCCCTCAGACTGAATCGCTGCAGCCTCACCTACAGCGCGCCTCAGAGAAGTGGACTCACATCAACGAACATCTGAACCAAATCTCACTTTTCTCCGTGAGACTGCGTTGTTCTCTGCAGCAGCTCCAGGCTCCGCTCTTCTCTCTGCAACAGGCGGAGACACGGCTTCTCCTCCTCCAGGTGAGCACAGAAGCAACAGAAAGTAGTCTCAGTAAAGTAGTCCCAGTAAAGGAGTCCCAGTAAAGTAGTCTCAGTAAAGTAGTCTCAGTAAAGTAGTCCCGGTAAAGTAGTCCCAGTAAAGTAGTCCCGGTAAAGTAGTCCCAGTAAAGAGTAGTCCAGGTAAAGTAGTCCCAGTAAAGTCGTCCCAGTAAAGAGTAGTCCAGGTAAAGTAGTCCCAGTAAAGTAGTCCCAGTAAAGAGTAGTCCCGGTAAAGTAGTCCCAGTAAAGTCGTCCCAGTAAAGAGTAGTCCAGGTAAAGTAGTCCCAGTAAAGCAGTCCCAGTAAAGTAGTCCCAGTAAAGTCGTCCCAGTAAAGAGTAGCCCAGGTAAAGTAGTCCCAGTAACGTAGTCCCAGTAAAGTAGTCCCAGTAAATAGGCGCCTGTCACCACCCGCTCCAATAAATCCTGCTGAGACTCAGAAGCTTTTAAAACCCATGTGGTAAAAGTCGATATTTGGGTTTTGACATTTAACATTGACAGGTTGAGAAAAGCTTTCTTTCTGGTTGATATCTCGCTCTCTCCATGGTCTCTCTCTGGTCTCTCTCTCTGGTCTCACTCTGGTCTCTCTCTCTGGTTTCTCTCCGGTCTCTCTCTAGTCTCTCTCTTTCTTAATGTGGTCCTTTTCTGGTCTCTCTTTCTGGCCTTTCTCTCTCTCTCTGGTCTCTTTCTGGGGTCCTCCTTGTCTCTCTCAGGTCTCTCTCTCTCTCTGGTCTCTCTCTGGTCTCCTCCTTGTCTCTCAGGTCTCTCTTTCTGGTCTCTCTCTCTCTCTGGTCTCTCTTTCTGGTCTCCTCCTTGTCTCTCTCAGGTCTCTCTTTCTGGTCTCTCTCTCTCTCTGGTCTCTCTTTCTGGTCTCCTCCTTGTCTCTCTCAGGTCTCTCTTTCTGGTCTCTCTCTCTCTCTGGTCTCCTCCTTGTCTCTCCTTCAGGTATCTATCTCAGGTCTCTCTCTCTGATCTCTGGTCTCTCTCTTTTGTCTCTCTTTCTGGTCTCTCTCTCTGGTCTCTCTCTCTTGTCTTTGCCATCAGCAGTATAATCTCGTCTGTTCAGGAATCCCAATCAGAGACACAGAAACACTCAAACCTTTGGGACGCACTGGATAAAGAGGGTCAGGATTTGGCGCAGACCGATCCAGCGGCGGCAGAAGTGTTGAAGCGAGAGACAGAAAGAGAGCGCACAAGGTCAGTCTGTTTCATGTTAAAGGAAAGGCAAGTTTATATATATAGCACAGTTTATCCACAAGGAAACTCAAAGTGCTGAAGAGAACCAGAGAGAATCAGTCACACGGCTTTAAAATCATAAATAATTACAGTCCATTAAACAGAGTAAAGATATCACAGATTATTATTGTGATCATAATCTTTGTCAGTTAATGTTTTTGTTTTAACGGAGTCCTAGTCCTCCAACAGAACTTCCTGGATTATTAAACTCTGTAGAACCCAGACATAAAGCTATTTTTTTTAAAGAATTATCCGTGCTATTTTTTGTCTATTATATACTCTCTCCTGTCTCTCTCTGGTCGTTCTCTGGTCTCTCTCTAGTCTTTCCCTGGTCTCTCCCTGGTCTCTCGCTGGTCTCTCTCTGGTCTCTCTCTGATCTCTCTCTAGTCTCTCTCTGATCTCTCTCTAGTCTCTCACTGGTCGCACTCTAGTTTCTCTTTCTTGTCTCTCTCTGGTCTCTCTCTGGTCTCTCCCTGGTCTCTCCCTGGTCTCTCGCTGGTCTCTCTCTATTGCCTCTTTCTGGTCTCTCTCTGGTCTCTCTCTGGTCTCTCTCTAGTCTCTCTCTAGTCTCTCGCTGGTCTCTCTCTATTGTCTCTCTCTGGTCTCTCTCTCTTGTCTCTCCCTGGTCTCTCTGGTCTCTCTCTGGTCTCACTCTTGTCTCTCCCTGGTCTCTTTCTATTGTCTCTCTCTGGTCTCTCTCTGGTCTCTCTCTGGTCTCTCTCTGGTCTCTCCCTGGTCTCTCCCTGGTCTCTCCCTGGTCTCTCCCTAGTCTCTCTCTGGTCTCTCTCTGGTCTCTCTCTGGTCTCTCTCTGGACTCTCTCTGGACTCTCCCTGGTCTCTCCCTGGTCTCTCTCTGGTCTCTCTCTGGTCTCTCTCTGGTCTCTCTCTGATCTCTCTCTGGTCTCTCCCTGGTCTCTCTCTGGTCTCTCTCTGATCTCTCTCTGGTCTCTCTCTGGTCTCTCTCTGGTCTCTCTCTAGTCTCTCGCTGGTCTCTCTCTATTGTGTCTCTCTGGTCTCTCTCTGATCTCTCTCTTGTCTCTCTCTTGTCTCTCTCTGATCTCTCTCTAGTCTCTCGCTGGTCGCTCTCTAGTTTCTCTTTCTGGTCTCTCTCTGGTCTCTCCCTGGTCGCTCTCTAGTCTCTCTCTGGTCTCTCTCTAGTCTCTCGCTGGTCGCTCTCTAGTTTCTCTTTCTGGTCTCTCTCTGGTCTCTCCCTGGTCGCTCTCTAGTCTCTCTCTGGTCTCTCTCTAGTCTCTCGCTGGTCGCTCCCTAGTCTCTCTCTGATCTCTCTCTGGCGAACTAAAGTGCTTGCTGGACTATTAACCCTGTAGTCTTCCTGAAAATGTGAGACAGGCTTCTCCTCATCTGTTTAGCTGCAACAACTGAAGGATTTTATCTTTACTCTTTTAAATGAACTGTGATTATTTATAAATATATATTATTTTAATGCCTTGTGTGATTGTGTCTTGTTTTGTTCCGGACTTTGAGTTGCCTCGTGTGTGGACAGTCCTCTACAGATAAACATATGATTGTAATTCACAGCTGTGTGCTCTCTCCTGTGGCTGTAATCCCACAGGTGGACAGCCGCTCTGCAGGACTTACAGACGGAGGTGGGAGAAGCACAGGAGAGCGTGTGGATGTGGCAGGAGCTCACAGACCAGTCCCACAGCTGCTGCCTACAGCTGCAGCGGCTGTGGCCTCAGTGGGAGAGGACTCTGCAGGGCCCTCACACACACAGCCACTCAGTACAGGTGCCTTTCTGTGATTTTCTAACCCTGACCCAGACCCTGACCCTGACCCTGACCCTGACCCCAAAGTTCCCTGTTTCCAAACGTTTATGTTTAAAAAATCAATTCAGAAGTTCAAGTTCTAGGTGTTGTGAAAAAGGATTTCTCTACCTCTCTCTGGTATCTCTCTGATCTCTCTTTGGGCTCTCTCTGGTCTCTCTCTGGTCTCTCTTTGGTCTCTCTTTGGACTCTCTCTGGTCTCTCTCTGGTCTCTCTTTGGTCTCTCTCTGGTCTCTCTCTGGTCTCTCTTTGGTCTCTCTCTGGTCTCTCTCTGGTCTCTCTTTGGTCTCTCTCGGGTCTCTCTCTGGTCTCTCTTTGGTCTCTCTGGTCTCTCTCTGGTCTCTCTTTGGTCTCTCTCTGGTCTCTCTCTGGTCTCTTTGGTCTCTCTCTGGTCTCTCTTTGGTCTCTCTCTGGTCTCTCTTTGGGCTCTCTCTGGTCTCTCTCTGGTCTCTCTTTGGTCTCTCTTTGGGCTCTCTCTGGTCTCTCTCTGGTCTCTCTTTGGGCTCTCGCTGGTCTCTCTTTGGTCTCTCTTTCTAGTCTCTCTCTCTGGTCTCTCTTTACCACTGGTGTATCTTTGGTCTCTCACTTTCTGGCCTCTCACTGGTCTCTCTTCTCTCTGTGTCTTTCCGGTCTCTCTCTCTCTCTCTCTCTCTCTGGACTTTCTCTGATCTCTCTTTTTCTGGTCTTTCTCTTATCTCTAGTGTCTCTCTCTTTCTCGCTCTCTTTCTCTCTGGCCCCTCTCTCTTGTGTCTTGTTCTCTTTAGTCTCTTTTTCAAGGTCAGCAGTGTCTGTCTCTGGTCTCCCTGGTCTCTCTCTCTCTCTCTCTCTCTCTCTCTGTCTCTGTCTCTGTCTCTGTCTCTCTCTCTCTCTCTCTCTCTCTCTGTCTGTCTGTCTGTCTGTCTCTCTCTCTCTCTCTCTCTCTCTCTCTCTCTCTGTCTCTGTCTCTGTCTCTGTCTCTGTCTCTCTCTCTCTCTCTCTGGTATCATTGCATTTCCTGTGTTTGATTCTCTGATCTGTGTTGGCGAATCGACAGCTTTGTAGAGTCCTCTGAGAGAACTGCTGTTGTTGTGATTTAGGACGACACAAACATTGATTGACTCTGAATGCTCACAGTCTTCAGGGGGATCGGGTTTGGAGGCTTTTTTCACAGTAAGTCACTCAGACTTTCACAACACGCTCACGTCCAGAGAGACCACCGTCACTTTCTATCAACGTTGGACAATGTTCTAACGAGGAGAGAGGAGCGTGTAAAATCTAAGCTTTTCCTTCATGTTCTGAATTCATGGGAAATATTTGGATAGAAAAGAGAAGGGAGGACAGGACAGAGTCAAAAAGGACTCACAACACAGAGAAAGAGGTTACCTGCCATAGTATCTCTCTCTCTCTCTCTCTCTCTCTCTCCTCTCGTCTCTCTCCTCTCCTCTCCTATCCTCCCTCTCATCTCTCTCCTTTTCCTTCTCTCCTCTCTCTCCTCTCATATTAAAACAGAAAGAGATCAGAGGGTCCTCTATCTTATCTGAATGTTTGTTTGTGGTTACCAAATAGAGATAGACCAGAGAGAAGGAAATAGAGAGAGAGACTGGAAAGAGACCAGAGAGAGACCAGAGAGACCAGAGAGAGAGACCAGTGAGTGACCAGAGAGAGAGACCAGAGAGAGACCAGAGAAAGAGAGACCAGTGAGTGACCAGAGAGAGAGACCAGAGAGAGAGACCAGAGAGAGATCAGAAAGACCAGAGAGAAGGACCAGAGAAGGACCAGAGAGAGACCAGAGAGAGTGACCAGAGAGAGACCAGAGAGAGAGGGACCAGAGACAGAGACCAGAGAGAGAGGCCAGAGAGAGAGACCAGAGACAGAGACCAGAGAGAGAGACCGGAGAGAGAGACCAGAGAGAGAGACCAGAGAGAGAGACCACAGAGAGAGACCAGAGAGAGAGACCAGTGAGTGACCAGAGAGAGAGACCAGAGAGAGACCAGAGAGAAGGACCAGAGATAGACCAGAGAGAGAGGGACCAGAGAGAGAGACCAGAGAGAGAGACCAGAGAGAGACCAGAGAGAGAAACCAGTGAGTGACCAGAGAGAGAGACCAGTGAGTGACCAGAGAGAGAGACCAGAGAGAAGGACCAGAGAGAGAGACCAGTGAGTGACCAGAGAGAGAGACCAGAGAGAGACCAGAGAGAGAGAGACCAGAGAGAGAGAGACCAGTGAGTGACCAGAGAGAGAGACCAGAGAGAGACCAGAGAGAGACCAGAGAGAAGGACCAGAGAGAGACCAGAGAGAGAGGGACCAGAGAGAGAGAGACCAGAGAGAGAGACCAGAGAGAGACCAGAGAGAGAGACCATTGAGTGACCAGAGAGAGAGACCAGAGAGAGACCAGTGAGTGACCAGAGAGAGAGACCAGAGAGAGACCAGTGAGTGACCAGAGAGAGAGACCAGAGAGAGAGACCAGAGAGAGACCAGAGAGACCAGCGAGAAGGACCAGAGAGAGACCAGAGAGAGTGACCAGAGAGAGACCAGAGAGAGAGGGACCAGAGACAGAGACCAGAGACAGAGACCAGAGAGAGAGACCAGAGAGACCAGAGAGAGACCAGAGAGAGAGGGACCAGAGACAGAGACCAGAGAGAGAGACCAGAGAAAGAGACCAGAGAGAGAGACCAGAGACAGAGACCAGAGACAGAGACCAGAGA